AGTGAGTGTGTGTGTGTTAATGGGTGGTGCAGGGGTGCTGTGTGTGTGTTTATGGGGGTAGGGGTGCAGTGTGTGTGTGGTTGTAAGTGCTGTGTGTGTGTTTATGGGGGCAGGGGGTGCAGTGTGTGTGTTAATGGGCAGGGGTGCTGTGTGTGTGTTTATGGAGGGTAGGGGTGCTGTGTGTGTGTGTTAATGGCAGGGGTGCTGTGTGTGTGTTTATGGGGGTAGGGGTGCTGTGTGTGTGTAAATGGGTGGCAGGTGTTGTGTGTGTTTATGGGGGTAGTGCAGTGTGTGTGTTAATGGGTGCAGGGGTGCTGTGTGTGTTTATGGGGTAGGGGTGCAGTGTGTGTGTGTTAATGTGGCAGGGTGCTGTATGTGTTTATAGGGGTAGGGTGCTGTGTGTGTGTGTGTTAATGGTGGCAGGGGTGTGTGTGTGTTTATGGGGGTAGGGTGCTGTGTGTGTGTGTTAATGGGTGGCAGGTGCTGTATGTGTGTTTATAGGGGTGGGGTGCTGTGTGTTTATGCAGGGGTGCAGTGTGTGTGTGGTTGTGGGGGGCTGTGTGTGGTTATGGGGGGTAGGGGTGCTGTGTGTGTGTGTTAAGGGCAGGGGTGCTGTGTGTGTGTTTATAGGGGTAGGGGTGCTGTGTGTGTGTGTGTGTGTTGTTTTGCAGGGGCAGGGGTGCAGTGTGTGTGTGGTGGGGGCCAGGGGTGCTGTGTGTGTGTTTATGGGGGGTAGGGGTGCAGTGTGTGTGTTAATGGGTGGCAGGTGCTGTATGTGTGTTTATAGGGGGTAGGGTGCTGTGTGTGTGTGTGTGTTTATGCAGGGCAGGGGTGCAGTGTGTGTGTGGTTGTGTGTGTTTATGGAGGGGTGCTGTGTGTGTGTGGGTGGCAGGGTGCTGTGTGTGTGTTTATGGGGGCAGGGGTGCTGTGTGTGTGTGTTAATGGGTAGGGGTGCGTGTGTGTGGTTATGGAGGGTAGGGGTGCTGTGTGTGTGTGTGTGTTAATGGGTGGCAGGTGCTGTGTGTGTGTTAATGGTGGCAGGGTGCTGTGTGTGGTTATGGGGGGTGAGTGCTGTGTGTGTGTGTGTTAATGGGTGTGTTTATGGGGGTAGGGGCAGTGTGTGTGTGTTAATGGGTGGCAGGGGTGCTGTGTGTGTGTTTATGGGGGTAGGGGTGCAGTGTGTGTGTGTTAATGGGTGGCAGGGGTGCTGTGTGTGTGGTTATGGGGGGTAGGGGTGCTGTGTGTGTGTGTGTTAATGGGTGGCAGGGTGCGTGTGTGTGTGTTTATGGGGGTAGGTGCAGTGTGTGTGTGTTAATGGCAGGGTGCTGTATGTGTGTTTATAGGGGTAGGGGCGGTGTGTGTGTTAATGGGTGTGCTGTGTTTATGGGGTAGGGGTGCAGGTGTGTGTTAATGGGTGGCAGGGTGTTGTATGTGTGTTTATAGGGGGTAGGGGTGTTGTGTGTGTGTGTGTGTTTATGGGCAGGGGTGCAGTGTGTGTGGTTAAAGTGTATGTGTGTGTGTTTATTGTGTGTGTGTGTGTTAATGGGTGCAGGGGTGCTGTGTGTGTGTTAATGGGTGCAGGGGTGGTGTGTGTGTTTATTGGGGGGGTGCGTGTGTGTGTGTTAATGGGTGGCAGGGGTGCTGTATGTGTGTTTATAGGGGGTAGGGTGCTGTGTGTGTGTGTGTTTATGCAGGGCAGGTGTGTGTGTGTTTATGGGAGCAGTGGTGCTGTGTGTGTATGGGGGGCAGGGTGCTGTATGTGTTTTAGGGGTAGGGGTGCTGTGTGTGTGTGTTTATGGGGGCAGGGTGCTGTGTGTGTTTATAGAGCAGTGGTGCTGTGTGTGTGTTTATGGGGGGCGGTGCTGTGTGTGTTTATGGGACAGGGTGCTGTGGTTTATGGGAGCAGGGTGCTGTGTGTGTTTATGGGAGCAGGGGTGCTGTGTGTGTGTTTATGGGAGCAGGGTGCTGTGTGTGTTTATGGAGCAGGGTGCTGTGTGTGTGTTTATGGGAGCAGGGTGCTGTGTGTGTTTATGGGGGCAGGGGTGCTGTGTGTGTGTGTGTGTGGGAGGTTGGGTATCATAATTTTCTTCTCCAGTGCATTTTGTTTGTTTGGTGTTGTCTGTGTGAATGTTCACCTTGACCCGATACACTTCAAGGGTTTAATTTGCGCACCATTTCAGTTATCATAGACTAGTAGGAGTCCGAAGTGATTAGAAGGAAGCTTAGGCGATGAGAATAAATTCTAGGAAGATGCATGAAGGATGATCAGGAGCATTCGAGGGTACTCTGTCCACTAATCTCTTCCAACTTCACCTTCACACCAACTAAAATCTTTTTACCCCCCCCAAGTCTTTGATAGTGAGGGTGAGTGTACAACCTATCAGAGAGAACCTCCAGTGGGTTTGGAACCATAGTGAACGACACACACCCAGATTACTCTCTCTCTCTCTCTCTTTGTAAGATCGATACTGTAGGACCAGCCAGGGATGTTAACTTCTGTTTTGGCGCTGCTCCAACAACGTCCATCCCCCCCCCCCTTTCTAGTTCCAATCCTTTGAGTATAGGAGGGGGGGGGGGATGAGAGAAGGGGTTGTAAAATGCATCAGGTGAATGCAGTTACTGTACACTCCCATACATACAAATATACATGCACATACACAAACACTGATACATGTACAAGCATACTTAGATATCCAATACACACACACTCACACTGTTGTTTAACAATGTCAAATCATAAGGTAAACAGAGTTGATATTCTTATTACTAAGTTACTTGTATAAATTATGTTAAATTAAAGCGCTGATGGATACCATGGTACAATACAGTATTTCTAAATTAACGGGTATTAAATTGGATGAATAAATTCAAGATATTAATATATGTATCTATTATATAACTGTATATAGTACTGTACTGTATATACAGGTTCAGTATTACTCTTTGATTTGAAAAGGAGTGAGGTTGTTGAGTGTCAGTGGGTGTGAGTGATGCTCTGACAATGGTCTGTTGTTATTTGAAATTACATACTATATTGTGCTTGAACCAAACTTGTTGACAACAGTTCGTGTTGTCACGTTACCTGTGCGTGAGTGTATCTTGTTGACAACAGTTTGTGTTGTCACATAAGGCTACTTCCTGTGCGTGAGTGTAACTTGTTGACAACAGTTTGTGTTGTCACATAAGGCTACTTCCTGTGTATGAGCGTATCTTGTTGACAACAGTTTGTGTTGTCACATAAGGCTACTTCCTGTGCGTGAGTGTAACTTGTTGACAACAGTTTGTGCTGTCACATAAGGCTACTTCCTGTGTATGAGTGTATCTTGTTGACAACAGTTTGTGTTGTCACATAAGGCTACTTCCTGTGTGTGAGTGTATCTTGTAGACAACAGTTTGTGTTGTCACATAAGGCTACTTCCTGTGTGTGAGTGTATCTTGTTGACAACAGTTTGTGTTGTCACGTAAGTTACTATTTGTATGTGAATGTATCTTGTTGACAACAGTTCGTGCTGTCACATATGGTTACTATCTGTGCGTGAGTGAATCTTGTTGACAACAGTTCATGTTGTCACGTTACCTGTGCATGAGTGTCTTGTTGATGATGGTTGTTGTCACGTGAGGTTACTTGTGCATGGGTGTAACTTGTTGACAACAGCTCTTGTTGTCTTGCAGAGTTACTGTACTGTGTTAGATAATCTGAAACCAAGTCTTCCACTAGTTAAGAGGATAAAAAATCATGTACTTTGACAAATTTCTCTTGTTGAAGTTGGGTCCACAATTGGACGACCCGAACATGTTATTCTAGGCCAGTGGCCTAATTTTATGCTCGGGCTTCAAGGCTACAGTTCCATTATTAGCGCGTGTAGCTTCCGTTAAAGTTAATGAAATCAGCTGATAAATGAATTACAAGCTTTGAAGCCACAGCTCTTGTCTTCCATGTGTTACTCTGTTAGGTGTTAGTGTGTAAGGTTAGCTGCCTGGTTATGTCGTTGTCTGTAAGATAAAAGATATTTTCTACCACAGTCTTGAAGGAATCTTACCAACTATCACCTTTATAATGCATTTGTTTACACTACATTGTAATAAAAACTGGTTTGTTTGTAACAAAGATTCTAAATACTATATATAATGATATAAATATATACATAGCAAAAATTAAAGTTTAATAAAATACATTTATATAATTTATAATCTGAGAAGGTTGGCCAAGACAGAAGAGGGGCGAGTTGTGTAACGTTCCCACATAGGCTCTGTGGCTAGCTGGCTGGCCTTGACCTCACCGTGCACCACTGTGAGTCATGCTGAGGCCTGGCCAGCTTCTTGAAACGAGTCAGTGCGAAACAGTATTGAAATAAAATGGATGATATGAAAATGCTTATCATTTACACCTCCTATAAAACATACCAACATACTGTTTTGTGGTAGTTCAACACTTCTTAATGTATGATACTGTTCATTTGTACTTTCTGAACTAAATGAAAAAAAAATTCTACCATCCTAATCTCTCCAGGTGGCAGATACATCCTTGTAAACATGTCATACATTGTTATTCTAAGATTTTTCTAATCACTTGAAAAATTAATGAGTATTTGACATTTATGAGATAATGTAATGTCATATTCATTTCAAACTCTTTGGATACATGTATTTTATGTGTACCCTGGGTCAGCAATGTACCCCATGTGGGACACAGAATTGCCTGCACTACACACGGAGGTGTAAAAGTGAGCAAGGCATCAATGGTACTGGTGTTTCTTGAGGAATCTGTTCACCCCACCTCATCTCAGGTTCAGTCCTGTATTGTAAAGAATAGCCATTCACAGAGGCCTCCCCACTCTCTCAATAAGATCTACCTCTTCTCTCCCTCACCCCTACCAAGACCACCTCTTTCCCTCTCCTTATATCTCCATTCTGACTACAAGGGTGTAATAGGGGAAGGGACCCTTTTTATATTCTACAATGGAATCCATCCTAAAGATGCTCTAACATTCAGCTAATAGAGTGCACAAACAGCAGTACAGTACTTACCTGGAGGAGACCTGCCGTGTTTGGTTGGGTCATACTAGATAACACCCTCCCCACGTCTGTCCCAAGCCAGGGATTAAACAGAGGACACAGTGGTGAGAGAGATGCAAATTACCGCTGCACCATCAACACCCATATTAATTTGAGATTGGAGTAGAGTAATACACACAGTGAGTTAACATCAAGAGAGGTTTACCCAGACAGAGAAAAAATATTTGTATATAAATGTTGTGCTTCTTTATTTTTCTACATGCAACAACCTCAACAACTGCAATCATCATCACATTATTTGTGGAAAAAATAATGTATCCATAACCATTTTAAATTAAATGTACTTCTTACATTTACAAGATCAAAATACACTAATATCAGTGAAAACCTGAAAAAGGGAATCGCTTAATATCTTCCATAACTGGTACGGAAAAGCACATCGAAACGGCTTACACTTTTGCACCAATACTTATGTAAAAGCAAGTACAGTATACTCACACACACTGCCATCTTTTAAGTGATATTCACATATTAACAGCAATGTAAATTGGTTAACTATATTACTTTCTTTTACATATTGGAATAAGAAGAGACAGAATAATTCCTCCAGTGTTACAAGAAGCACAAAGTTGGCAGTGCAATATAGTACTAGTATTATCTTAGGAAATTCAAATGACATCATCTTGACAAAGCAGTGCACATAATAGTTAAATAAATCAACACTATTGTTTTATGACGGCAAGTCATTTTCCTCAATCAAAGCTTCAGATTAGTCAATAAATTTTTTCTGGTTACATAAATCATAAGTCAGTTCTGTTCAGAACTTTGAAGTAACACTCACATTCTTAAAATGTTCCTGAAAAATTTTTTAAACAAAGGTAATGGATAAAGTAACACAAAATGGTATGAAAAGTGGATTACAATACAGTATTTTTATAAGTTACAGCCCAACCACGTCTAGATGAAGAACTTTAACTAGACAGACAGATGGACACAAGAGGCAAGCACTCACAGTCACAGGTAGCGGAGGCATAAAGGGAGTTCTCTAGAGCACTCACACAAACTGAAATATACTCAAGAAAGGTTTTAAGAAATAAATGTGTCTCCTTACACAAGAATGTCTGAAACAGACCACCAGAACTGTTGTACTGTAAACTGTAAAACACTACATGAACAGTACAGTACTAGCACACATCTTCTGTCTCTCACTAATTAATTATATATTACAAAGCTGAACCACTGACTGTGAAACATGTGATCACAGAACACACCGAGGATGACAATAGCTATCTTGAGTTTACATCCCAGCCCAGATAAACACTTGTACAGTACAATATACCCCAACATGATGTGACAAGAAATAAGTAAAAATCTTACTATCGCGTCTAAAGTAATGATATTCTCGAACACAACAGGTTTACTTCATAAATCTGATCATAAATGTAAGTACATTAATATCTGTGTAATGAACTGTTATGCCTGAACCATGACATAATACTTCTTTAAATCAATTTCAATTGAATAATACAGACAGTCTTCACAGTAACTCATTAGAGACTAAGTCATATTAGAAAGTGAATGAGAGAGAGAGAGAGTATGAAAGACTGTATGAACATACAAAATTAATGAATCTCCTGTAGTTCAGTCTCAATGAATCATCCTTATTAACATAGGAACTAGCTTCATGGAGGTCATTACACACACACACAGATATTGCTGTACCTATACTTTCAAAATAGTCTGACCAGCTGACATGATAACTATAAAGGTGCAATAACAAGTGGCTCATCATAGTCAGTAATGGACATTACTCTCTCTCTTACTCCTTCACAATAAATGAGACAAACTTTAAGTCACAAACTTAGTCTTATTAACTGGCCTCTTGGTTATACCATATAACAATTCTTTTAATTATCACACTGATAACATTCATTGACAGACTAACTGTACTTCCAGAGAACAACATATACAGTATAAACTTATTAAGTATCAACTTATAAGTCACAATGCCAACACCAGGATGGTAAACAATTCCTTTTTATTTTCTTCTAAACAACATGAGCTACAAATAATTTTCTTAAAATATTTTTTAACTTTCATCAAATCAAATCGTTGATTATCTGAACATGTATGAAAAAGCTTGGCTGGGTCGCGGTGTTCTGCAACTGTACACTCAGCGAGCCATCAATTACAAAGCTGTTGGATTAAATTACCCAGGAAAAAATTACCATAAATAAAGTACAGTACTGTAAAGCATTAATAAAATTATGGTATATCTTTCAAGATAACATTTTTTTCCTTCTTCTGATGCCTATCTTAATGTACACTGCAGCCCTAATTAGTACCCTTCCAGATGTTCTTTAACTTTATATTGTCATAAAAACACTGAAGTTTCCCATTGCTCTGTCTCTTCTGATTTCAGCCAATGTTATTTCTTGCCATAAGTACAACAGTCAGCCGTTCAAGTCACTTGTGTTCTTAATTTATTTTATAAAGTACATAACAGTGCAATATTATTTTAGGTGTACAGACAGAAAGCATTTACCGTTGCTCTGTCAATCTTTAGTATTTTCATCCTAACAAAACACTCAACTGAAGCCAAAGTCCTGAGGGTTGGAGAGAGAAAACAGTGAATTAGAACAACACCAAAATATTTCTTACAAACAGTAACATTAATACAACCTGACCTTCACACACACACACATTAGAAATCTCTATTTAATTTGCTCTTCCCCACTTACCACGTCAGAAACAAATGTGTAATATGTTTGGGCCATGGATGTTTGGTTTGGGCCAGGGTGGTTAGAACCTAATATAACCTAACCATGGCCCAAACCTCCACTCACCATCAGAAACAGAGCATGTGAAATTTGGTGTAATAAACATTAGCTATGAATCAGTTGATATTATTGTTGTGTCCTGCAGCACCGTGTAACTCCCTCACACTGTAGTTATTCTATATAAATTAACAGTTTTTTTTTAAATGTAAATGCAGTGATGTGAGTGTGTGAAGGCTGAAGAATTTAATGATAATAAGTTATCTCTGCTCTGCTCTGTGTGTGTGTGTGTGCGAGGGAAAACTCTTAAATTGTTAAATACTGGCAGCACCCGAGTAAAATTTACAAGATTTCTTGTTAATAATTTTGTAAATGGAGTTACTGTAGTACTGTACTGTACAGTACTTGGTCAGATACAATACAGTACAGCTCCTCCCCGAATTACGACCTACTCGATTTACGACCAACCGCACTTGCAACCTGCCTCAGTCATACCAAAATTTTGTCAAATTACGTATTTTCGAGTCCCAACGTCAGTACACAGATTTTCTATGTATTATTTCAGCAATTGTGACTTATGACCATTTCGAATTACGACCTGGATTTGGGTCCCTAACCCTGTCGTAAGTCGGGGAGGAGCTGTACAACAAAATACAAAGGATATGAACACATTATATGTTTGTTGTCTTATACAAAAGCTCTGACATGTTAAAACTTATGATCAATTGCTTCAGCTGACAAGAGAACTGACCTAAAATAAAGTTAGTGATCCAAGCTCACACTTGCCCAAAACCATTACAAATTATAATTGTAGTCAGCTTAAAAAATGAACGAATGATCCTGAAATTCCATTTTATGAAGAAGCCTAAAATTAGGCAACTTAAGTAAGACAGACACACACACAGTATGACACTGGTCTAGACCACAGACACCTGACACCAGTGGTTTGGGACTAATTTAAACAGTTAGTACAGAACACCTGCCTGTTGCAACACCACCTGAAAATGGGAGATTTAGAAGCCTAGATTCGCCATTCAATATATGATGCTGAATGAGCTTATTACATCACTGCACAGTATACAGTATATACCGTGAATTGACCACATAAATTATTGCTGCACAGGGCTTGTCAACATTACCCATTTGAAGAGATTCAGTGAAAGTACAATACAAACCAAGCTAAAGTGCCCTTCCAATCTGCACAAAATTCACATTTCTAGCATCACTGTACAGTACTATATACATTACTAGAGTACTAGCAAACAAGTATTTATAACTATAATGATAAAAACAAACACAACAGAGATAACTCAACCTTGGGGTACAAGACCTGGGATAGAGGCATTAGAGTCATCTTGAGTATAATGCATACTGTACTATGAGGGAGCCAACAAGAGGAAGGCTAAACCACAGAACTGAGGGAAGGCTTTTGGACTTCCCTGATTACTGTACTTGTACTCTCACTCAACAGCAGACTAATCCCATACCAGCCATCTAACACATCATCTAAATAAAATATTACATACTCACCTATGTAACCCAGGGGCAAAAATCTGGGTGAGGCCCGAGAAAATAAACCATCAAAAGACAGAATGAGTTTCTTACTGTGAAATCAAGTGATGGAGGCAACACTGTCAGCCACCAGCCAGCAGGCCAGTTGGATCAAAATTAATTATTTGCAAACAGTAAATAACTCGTCATATGAAAATAAATAATGAAATAAACTACAGTGGGGGTATGCTATAATGAATCTAATTGGTTCTAGAACCTTGTTCGTTATAGCATTCGTTCGTTATAGGATTAATCCGTTCCAGGCCCCCAAATACAACCACTTAACACTGAAAAATATAATATAAAATTGTAAAAATTGTAAAAAAGTGCATAAATATGCATCTAAACCCCTGAAATAAAGAATATCATTTATACTTGTAATAAAAAAAACAATAAATTAGTAAAAAAAAAAAAAAATTTTTTTTTTAATGTTCGTTGTAGGAGTTTCGTTCGTTATAGCATTCTCAATTTTATAGGTAAAACCGTTCGTTATAGGAATATTCGTAGTAGGATCCGTTCGTTATAGCATACCCCACTGTATATGCTAACACTGAGGGCTATGTAAAACAATTAATACACATCTAGTATACAGTCGGCCCTTCACATACGAGGGTTTAGCATTCACGGATTCGCAAATACGCGGATTGCCCCACCGGAGAAATATTCTGTACATTGAAGTATTGAAGTACATTCAAATCGCGCACCATTCAACTCGCGCGAGGCACCGAACACTGCATACCGCCCGCTCCCGCTACCTCACACACACACACGCATAGCGCATCGTCACCCCACCCCGCGCTCCCTCACTCAGTCAGTCTCGCTGTAACCACGCTTGTGTTGACATCAGCATTGTAGTTGCAAAAATAATACATTTCCGTGAATGTATTATATCAAGCACAGTATGAATAGAATATCACTAATATAACAGTATCTTCACCGAAAACTATTAAAAAACGAGTAACATATCTTGAACATCGGAAGGTTAGGTAAAGTCTTTTGTTTTCATGTAGTTTATCCTAATTTACATTGAAATACATTACATTTCAGCAAAACTACTATTTATTTCTGAGAATATGGAAATGTAAAATTTTTGCTCAAATAACGTACGCATTACAGTGGATAGTGACGAAAGCAATGACTTTTGCTTTCTTTCGTTCAAAAGATGTTACCATAATCGCTTTTTGAATGGTTTCAGTTAAAAAACTGTTGTCTTACAATAATATTCTATCCTAATTCACTTGTGATGCAACAGTTTTTTAACTGAAAACCATTCGAAAAGCAATTACGGTAACATCTTTTGAACGAAAGAAAGCGAAAGTCATTGTTTTCGTCACGATTTTATCCCACTTTCCACTGTAATACGTACGTCATTTCAACAAAAATATTACATTTCCGTGAATGTAGTATATCAAGCACAGTATGAATAGAATATCATTGTAATATAACAGTATTTTAACCGAAAACTATTAAAAAACGAGTAACATCTCTTGAACATCGGAAGGTTAGGTAGTCTTTTGTTTTCATCATGTATTTTATCCTATTTTACATTGAAATACATCACGTTTCAGCAAAACTACTATTTATTTCTGAGAATATATTCATTCAGGCACAGTTTAGGTAAAATATACATGTGATGTAACAGTTTTTTAACTGAAAGCGATTCGAAAAACACGTATCCTCTAGCCCTGTTCAAGGAGAAGACTGGGAGGAGCTGTTTGGTGCTGAAGACGATGACAAGGAAAATGATTTTGATGGATTTTAATGAAAATATTCAGAAATATGGTATCGTAGTATTTATTCAAGTGAATTAGGATAGAATATTATTGTAATACAACAGTAGTGATCATGTGCAGGAGGAGGAGGGATAGAGCGGGGAGGACTGGTGATGCTGGAGGCGGGAGCAGGGACGAATGAAGATGCCAGCCAGTACATTACGGGTGTACAGTATTAATTGTTTTTATAGCTATTTTTGCATTTTAATATTAAATACTGTACATTACGTTTCAACAAAACTACTGTTTATTTCTGAGAATATGGAAATGTAATATTTTTGCTGAAATGACGTATGTATTACAGTAGAAAGTGGGATAAAATTGTGACGAAAGCAATGACTCGCTTTCTTTCGTTCAAAAGATGTTACCGTAATTGCTTTTCGAATGGTTTTCAGTTGTGGGATTATGAGGCTAATGATAGGATAGAATATTATTGTAATACAGTACAACAGTTTTTTAACTGAAAACCATTCGAAAAGCGATTACAGTAAAATCTTTTGAACAACGAAAGAAAGCGAAAGTCATTGTTTTCGTCATGATTTTATCCCACTTTCCGCTGTAATATGTACGTCATTTCAGCCAAAATATTACATTTCCATATTTATTTCTGAGAATATATTCATTCAGTCACAGTTAAGGTAAAATATACTTGTGATGTAATATTTTAATGAAAATACGGTATCGTAGTTTTCTTTTGTTTCAAATTTAATTAACAAAGATTGATGTTTCAAATGTAATGAACAAAAATTTATGTACAGTATCTATAAATAAACTTTAAAAAATTAATACTGTACTTTATGTTTTACATCGTCCTGTGCATACCATACCATGCATTTGGCTACTTTGGGCTTGCTATGATGACGCAAGAGATCTGCCCTGGCAACTGTACCGACACTCACAGCTGGTGGTGCGTCGTTTCCATTGTTTACTGGTAAATATTTTTCAACCTAACGAAACTATTACCTGTTTAGAGGTCGACCCCCAATTTTTTGCCAAATAATTTGGTCTTATAAACTCGAACTACACACAGGTATATACGGTAAATAAGGACATGGGGGGCCAGGGGTTTTTTAGGGAGGGGGGGGGACAGCAATAGTGCACGGATTTTTAACATTCACGGGTATCTCTGTTACCTAACCCCCGCGATGTTAAGGGCCGAATGTAGTTAAAAAAAAGGCATAGCACTAAATTCTGATACTGTACCAGTAACTGGAGCAAACAGAGAACAGCTATTCAATGACTATGGCAAGAGGAGTGAATGAGGATTCCTGCCTGGAAAACCAATATGACTTATCAGACTGGAAGACTGAGGTAAGTATCAGCTTAGAGTGACAGCATGTGCATATTCAGCCTCAAACTTTAAACGGTTACCGTAACTTCTGCTTCCATCTCTCCATATCCAGGAGCAATGGTGGCAACAGGGAGGTATGTACAGTACATTACTCTCATTGGTCTGATTAGTCCCAGCCACTGATCTAAACCAATGGCTGTGTGTGCATCATCAGTGGAAAGTAACTGGATATAAATTTCAAGGTTCAGTCACACCTGTATTGCTAATGGCTTCACTGCTCCTGCTGCTGCTGATCTTGTTGTTGTTGTTGCTGTTGTTCTCCCCAAGCAAAACCTCCTGGCTGTTCCTCTGGCAGGGGATTATAGCTCGGGTCTTCATTACGAGGTTCACACAGTTGGACACTGCAGTAACAAAAACACATAAAAAAAATTTATGCTAACTCAGTGAAGACAGCACACTATTTCATGCTACAAATAATACATACATTGGCCATGCCGTCTGTGGGGTGACTGGCAACTATAATTGTGTTCATAAATATGCCTTCACGGTACTGAAGTGTGAATGGTAGTGTTGATTAATGCAATGAATTTAATAAATGAGGAGCTCCTGACCATATATCGCTGAAACGTGTTATGTATGGCATTGTATTCCCCAACCTCTCCCCTGTCCCCTGAGTAAGTCAGAGACCCAATTGGTAACATGTACATGTGGGTGAGAGTCCTCAAGAAGACCACTGTATGTCACACATTCCTCCCTGAGCATTTTCCTCCACTTCCTATTTTGGCACTTGGCAGATTATCGTCCAGAGATCCTCATATATAAAATTTGTTCTTCTTTCATACTGGGGAAACCTTATATAACACACACACACACGCGCACGCACGCACGCACACACGCACGCACACACACACACACACACACACATGCACGATGCGAGCACACATGCACGCACGCACGACGCGAGCACACATGCACGACGCGAGCACACATGCACGATGCGAGCACACACACTCACACAAACACTTGTTTTTCAGTCGTTTCTAATATTGGCTGTTCCAGAGTTGTCTTCCCAGGACATTTACCTATATCCACTCCAACTCTCCCAATCAAATATGCTTTTTAAGGTTGACATAATTCAATACAGTACAATGTGTTAGTTATCTACCTCGGTCATCTTTTTCTAGTGATATATGTAATATATTTCTAAGAACCTCTCACAGCAAGGATAGCCAGAAATGTCAAGTCACTTTTCATACCTGTCTTATGCATTTTCTAATAAATTATATATTTTAACAGCTTTCATCCTCTACAGTACCACTAAGATTTCCTAAAATTATATTGTACTGACCAAAAAGTAGTCAACTACTTAAGTCCATTCACCTCTCCTGAACCACGAACCCCAAGATTCAGACTCATGAGCCCGAAGCAATAGACCGATATATTATTCTGCCCATAAGTTTTTCGGGTTCATGAGTCTGAATCTCTTGGTTTATGGTTCAGGGGGAAACAGGTGAATGGCCTTTAGCAGTTGACTGTACAAGGACCAGAAGCTCATCTCTGCCACATCAACATAACTGAGTGGTGCTCCTGTTTGGTACAGAACTTATGCTCCATCACATTATAACACCACAGAAAATTTAATTTCTCCTAATAAACTGATGCAGTGCAGCAGCTAGTCACAATGTAAAATCTCATAATCCATCAGGTTTTTACCATAAATTTAATATACTGTACCAAAAGTGTACATTTTCTAACCTATGGCTACAACAGACTAAAATTCATTGGCATGATAAAATTCTCTCTTCTTAAGGATGATGACTTAAATCTGTAACCAAAACTAAGAATATCATTGCTGCCATAATTATACATGTGGCAGTAACTCAACCATGGTGCCTGTAGTGTATACCATAAGTTGACATACAGTAGAAAGTTTCTCTTAGTCACTGAGGAAGTGAATCAGTCAGTTTGTTAGTTAGGACTGGAATTCATACAGCTGACTGATGCAGTTAAAAGACTCACAGGAAGCGTGGTGTTTTCAGAAGCCTGATGCCTCCAGATCGTGCAGGGAAAACATCTTCCAGGAAGTAGTATATGTGTCCAACTGCAATTCCTACGAAGTCGACAATGACGGAATTTCCCAAAAGAACACTGAAGCCCAGTAACACCCAGGGAAGATATGGCGCCTGCACACACAAGAAACACTGACCATTATAAAGTTGAATAAGAATCTTCATGAAAGTTTTGAGTGAATATTTTTAAGCAATACATAAATACTTATAAAATATTATTAACTGAAATGTGAAAAGAGATTTCTCACACACCCACAATAAACCATTAATTACTATTACACACTCAAAAATTGTGACCAAGTCCCAGGTTGCTGATCTGACTTTCTGCCTCATTTACACACAATTGCAGGGTCTCAATTGTTTCTCTTACTTTGACAACACAAAATACATACTGTATATTGTTCCTCACTCTTGATCTTATTTTTTTTTGTCTTTATAATTATTATTATTATTACTACAGTATTATTATTATTATTATTATTATTATTATTATTATTATTATTATTATTTCATTATTTTTATTTTTTTATAAATTTGATTATTGTGAATTATTATTATTATTATTATTATTATTATTTGTATTATTATTATTATTATAATTATTATTATTATTATTATTATTATCATTATTATTATTATTATTATTATTATTATTCCTACATTTTTGCCCCCCCCCCTCCCCCGATGTGGGTCAGTGACCTGTGCCCGGGTGGGCTAATCCCAGTAAAAAAAAAAAAAAACAGTATATTAGACCTCAGCTATACTCAACATTATCCATAACTTACAACATTAAAAAATATGAAAGGCTACATAGATTGTAAAATTAACTAAACAACACAAGAAATTAATAATAGCTATACAGCAGACGATAATTTTATTGCCGATTGTTTATCTGAGCCAAGGCTTTACCCTGCTTTATTAATTGAAGCCGATACTGCTATTTAACCGCATCAATCATGCCTTAACTACGTTTGGAAGATAATTAATTTTCAATTATAATTGGTGGGCAAGGGGTGGAAGTGACGGTAATGATCGCACACAGTTTCTCACTGTCCATTGTCGTATGCAGATCTAGGATACACACTTTTATCTGGTAGAGTACTATTGCATACAGTAGGATCTTGAGTTTTCCCACTCATTGGTACTGGTTTAGCATCGCAAATTGATATTCAACACTCCCTGGTAAAATTTGCTTCCTGTGGTACTGACCCAGTAACACCCAACAACCTCCCCCATTCATGTAAGGCCACTGTATGCAAAACGGCTTCACTTTTATGGTAAATCCATCCAATGTCATAACTTTATTTAATCTACAGTGCACTTCCTTTTATCCAAATTCCACCCACCACCTCCTCTCCTGGGCTATGCTCCCAAATGTAGTTTTTGTACAGTAACATCTTAATATAATTCAAATTATATTCCTATAATTCAATCGACTTTTTGGAACCGGGAAGCTTGTGATACTTGGTAGTGAGGTTCACACTGGATAACACCCTTCTCATGCTGAACCAATGTGAAAAATGTATGATAATTTAACTCAAAATGGGTATGTACAGTAATTCCTATATATTCAACATAGAGTTTGTGAATTTGACCACCATATATTTTCCATGTGCTGCTGTCACCCACAAGACCACACAGAGGGTGAGTTAACTGTTCAGTCCACAAGTACACACACTCTAATGTATGGTAATAGATTGCTTTATAAAGGTTGACTTAGCAAATTACTATTAGTCACACATGTATCATTTTTATCATCTATTAAATTTTAAATTTTTAATGGCACTATTTTATTGAGTTATGTGGTAGATACAGTATACTGTACATTAAATAAAAAATGTGGGAACTGTGCAGTGGGTGGCCAGCTGCACGGACTGTTATTGGAGAAATTTACTTTGCTTTACAGTATGCCCGGATAGTTCGCAGATTTTTATTTCGTGGATGACACCCTGGATGTTCCCAAGAATGTCTGTGGGTAGTTTTAATGTTGCCAGCATTTTTACGGCCAGTACGGTGAGAGAGCGACTTTTGTAACATCACGCAAGGTGTCTCTCTTGTGATACAAATGATATATAATAACTAAATGGGGAGAAGGTTATACTACAGGACATTTCAACATAGTGACAGTGCAAAAAGGTAAGATTGACTAGGAGTGAATACACTGGTTGATTACGAATTGTTGATAATTTGTACAATGGTTGGGACAGAGCTGTTTTTATAGTGTGTGTGTGTGTGTGTGTGTGTGTGTGTGTGTGTGTGTGTGTGTGTGTGTGTGTGTGTGTGTGTGTGTGTGTGCGTGCGTGTGTGTGCGTGCGTGTGTGTGTGTGTGTGTGCGTGCGTGTGCGCGTGTGTGTGTGTGTGTGTGTGTGCCTAAAACCCATGAATTTGAGGGGAATGCTGTACATAAATATTTATGGCACTTGATGCAACTACTGAATTTGGGTATTTTAAAACATACAAGCATGAAACAATATATGCTTGTAATTATTATAAATAGCTAAATTCCAAAGGTATCAAGTGCCATAAATATTTGTAGGCTGGGTAATTGGGAACACGCAACCCAGCCATACAGCTCATGAACTTAGCCAGCCAAGACGTTAACACTACCTATCTACACCTCTGACACAGACATTTATTGAGTTACCTGTATCTGCCTGAAAGGTATTATAGTTATCTACTAAACAAGCAAGGATAGAATGATAATGGTGATATACAACCCTCGCATAAAGTTGTGTAGAATCTCATTATCTCAAAATATTTCTCCTGGAAGGACCCCAACCGTGTGTATGGCTTAACCGTGCAAGTGAACCGCCCCCCCCCCCCAAGCACAGTAAAATGATCGTCTTTTGTATTAACTTGTGAAGGTTAGCTGTAGCTCTCCGTGATGTGCGGTCTGTTGTAGTTCTTTTCTATCCCCACATCATTCCTGGCCTACCCCATCTCTCCTCCCTTCCACATTCAAACTGATGCATCTTTTAACCTAGTCAGTCTCCTCAAATCTTCCCACATGCCCAAACCACACAATCCTCAACACAAAACATTACGAATACTCTCATTACCCAGCCATTCTCTTAGCTCTGAACAGGACCACCTATTCCTTCCAATGTTACACTGTACCTAATCACAAAAATCTTGATTCAATGGCCAGATTTATCTACCCTTCACCTCATTTAAGTCGCCCAAACAAGGCTTCTCTAACACAAATAACCAACTGGTGTATTTCTGCACTAAAGTATCTGCTAATAATTTAATATACGGTATATGAAAATTTCAAATCAATTTAATATATATGAAAATTTTAAAATAGAAGCACCTGAAAATTGAGAAGACCGAAGAAATTCATGCGAACAAATGGGTTCCGTCGTGCCCACACATACACCAGCATGATGGTGAAGGCCTGACCCAGGAACAGTAGGGAGCAGAACATGGCACAGCCCAGCATACATGTTCCACCAAACATCTGTAAAGTAGCAATACAACTCTTATGCAATATTAAAAAATTTAATAATACAAAAATACAGTACAGTCAACTACTAAAATGCAAGATATTTTTGTGTACCTCAGAATCTTTCACTCATCATGGAGTAAATTCTCTTGAAGTCATGTACAGTTAACTACTAAAGTTTGTTCACCTCTCCTGAACCACGAACCCCAAGATTCAGACTCATGAATCTGAAGCATTTATGGACATAATAATGTATTAGTCTACTGCTTCAGATTCATGAGTCTGAATCTCAGAGTTCATGGTTCAGGTGGAGAGGTGAACGAACTTTTAGTAGTTGACTGCACATGTGAGGTTTCTTAACTTAGGTTTAAATGATTCAAGAGAATTTATTTCATGATGAATGAAAGATTCTGAGGTAAAAAAAAATATCTCACACTGCATCTGGTCAGCCTTCAATGGTCTATAAAGATAAATAACAGTAAACCTACAGTACTCTTCAATACAATTCTGGTATGAGGACTGACAAAAATATAAGGAATGATATAAAAACAGAACATTTTTAATAACAAACAAAATATATGGTACTAAATAAAATCCTTCTAGTGATAAAAGGTGCAGTACAGTGAACCACAACCACTTCCTGGACACAGTTTCAACATTTGGTGGATGTGAAGCTCTACACCAAGAGACCTTCACCAGTCTATAAACTTCCTCACATGGCAACTCCTCTCAAAACTATCCAGAAATCCACACTAAAAGAAGGAACTTGAGCAAAAAATTCTTTAACTATCATAAGATTCAAACACTGAGATATATATTTGAGCAGCCATAAAAAAACTATGAACAATCATCAGAGCTTTTTCATTCATCCAAATTATGTTTAAGTAAATACACTTTGTACAGTCCCCAAAAGTAATCATTAGCCATGGGATCAATGTGATTCGAGGCTTCCGAGCAATGTTACTCGACCTGTTTCTGAACTGTTGGTAGTTCTACATCCACGACCTCTGGGCATAAATAAGTACAGGTATACATTTTCGAATGATGTGAATCTTCCAAGACTTCAAATCATATACAGCCACTTCTCGACTTACGACGGGGTTAGGGACCCAAATCCAGGCCGTAAGTCGAATTGGTCGTAAGTCGAAAATGTGAAGATAATACATAGAAAATCTAAAATGGGTGTCTCTTTTTCTTCTGATCACCACAAAACTCTCACTTTTAAGCATGCCAGCCATTTTAAAGGGAATTACAAACGAAAATTTTGTCAGTACAGTACACAGCGCAATCACTAACGTCGGAACTCGAAAATACGTAATTTGAAAAAATTTTGGTGCCACTGGGGCGGTCGTATGTCCGGGTGGTTGTACGTCGGGTAGGTCGTAAGTCGAGGAGTAGCTGTACAGTATTACAAGACCCGGAGTGGATGTCGTAAATGGATACCAACACCATGCCGGTTATCAAAGGGATCTTACATCGAATGAAGTGAGGAATTGTTGGGGAGACATAGCAAGATGTGAGAGGTGCTATTACAGTAAACCCTCGATAACTTAGCATGGACATGGTCTCGGAATGTATTAGTATAACTCGGGAAATGCCAAGATGTATAAAATCATCTGGGAAAATCTCGGCATATCTGGCCATCTGCATCACCTACCATACCTCTGTGTTACCTACCATGCCTCTATGTCACCTACTATGATGCTTCATTCTTTGCCTGCAGTGCTGGTAAGTGTTACTTTTTTACGTTTAGTAATTACATGTACACAATATGAACAGATTATTTTTTATTGTATTTTTGTAGGAGGGGGGGGGAAGTGCCTCGATAAGTCGGAATTTGGGATAACTCGGCAAGGCCAGAGTCCCATATGTGCCGAGTTGTCGAGGGTTTACTGTATTGCCCTTCACAACGAGGGTATACGTAACGCTGAGATAGCATGGCGTGAACCAAAAGTATCACGATGGGTTAGGCACCATGAAACAACTAATGCCACACTGAAACTTACAACCACAAATGTCTTACTATAGGTAGATGGGGGGTTCAGTTGCCAGCAAGTTCCTTGTTTAAATCCATATTTCAGTGTTAAACCATTGCAATTCACATTTCAAAAACATGGCAGATCCCATGTAGACTGATATATAGTATTGTATATTGCTGTAGCTGTTCACTCTAATATCAAGTACTATTTGCTTAGTCACTCTTCATAAATCAGACATATCATGAACAACATGAGTTGGCATATTGTGAAACTCGGTATGAATGAAACTCCGTTAGCACAACAATGTAATGGTGAAATGTCCATTTTGAGGCCTGTCTCAGTTATGATGTTCTGAAATACTTTCATTTAATGTATATTTCAGTGTTATTGTAATCATCAGTCAGTGGCTTGTTTATATATGCCTTCCTTCTACTTGTTATAATGAAATATCTAGTATGCCTACAAGGAACGACTCCCTCCTCCAATCCTGCCCCCATCTCTAGCTGTTGCTGATAAGGTGAGCAGGCATACCATCTTATAATGATGCACTGGGATCATATCAAAGCATTTCGTTTTGCGTTTCAAGTTGTAGCGACGGAAAATCTAACGATACTTTTTGAGGGAATGTACAGTCCGCTTCATTTGTGCATTTACAAGGGCTTCTCATATAAACATTCCACAAATCATTATCTTTGAGATATTTGTTTCAATAGTTTTAATTTGATTCCAATGTATGTTTACTAGTGCGAGTTTCCCTCTGTTGAATGTAAACAAACACAGGGCTGCCACACTACACAAAACCTGACAAGCCCCTGTAAATGCACTAGTGAAGGGGACTGTACATGGCAGTTATTAAAGAACAAAATAAAATACAAAGAAAACTTAATGCTACAGTCCCATACAGATGTGATAAGGACTAAAATTCATAAAATACAATCTTGCCTCTTGTGTCCTTACAAGATCCTGTGTTAATTATTATTGATCCAATTATGACAAGTACATTTTCCCTTTCTTGTACTTAAGTCTCTTGGTCACACTATCAACACTGTACCACACTGAAGAGTAACCTATAACAGTACAGTAATTTATATAATACTGTACAGTATACACTTACTGTACTGTAATTCCATGACCATCTTACCATCATCAACACAAAGTCAGCTGTGCGCCCCCTAAAAGAGCCCTCCTCCAGCATGCGGCAGTAACGGTATGTGAATATCATGTTGAATAAGAAGTTGAAGCCTATTGTCCCGAAGAAGAGGAATGTTGTCACCAGCCTCCATAACTGTAAAATGGTACAGTATAAAATAATCATAATACAGCAAAATTTCCTACCATTTTGAATTACAGAACAAAGCTATTTCAGGTGGCGAATACCGAGTAGGCTAATACATATTACACATCAACAAGTTCATACATTCAGTGATATTCCCAGTAAATGAAAACAACAAATATTATAGAAATGCGAAAAGGTTTTTCTTTAGCTTACATTAAAAGTGTTGATAAATAACAATGAACACATTCTACTGACCTGATAATGTCTCAAAATGAGGATGGGGTTGAAGTACAGCTGGAATGGTGAAACAATGTCCAATTGCTGTTAAAAAAGAAAAAAATTACAATATAATTTTCAAAAGTAATTTTAAAGTAAGGTTCTGGTAATCAAAATTTACAGTTGTTATAAGAATTTTTTATTGATTTAGAATGATTGGTTAACACAGCAATAAAAAATATTGAATGGAAACCCATCATGATTTAATAAGTGGTTCTAAAGTACTCCGGTATTCCAGTCAACATAGCTATCATTATTGGAGGTTAGCTGTAGGGACGGCGGCCATCATTAGTGGATGTTTCATGTTCCTTGCATTTTATTTTTGCACATACAGTACTGTACTGTATAGGATTGGAGTAGGGAGTCCAGATCACCTGAAGAAACTCCACCCTAGCTTATTTCACCCAAAGATTAACCACCCTAATGCTAACCTAACCTAACCTAACCACAACAAACCCAACATAACCTAACCACAACAAACCCAACCTCATCTCCCAAATAGTGTTATGGCCACAAGTGACTCACTCACCACAAGTATGGTCGTGATAACACAGGCTGTGGTGTACGCCCGGGTCACTGGCGGCATCTGCATATATTCTTGTTGGAATGTCTGGTGAGCCATTTTGATTCTCTTACTTCAATAATTTCTGAAATATTTAAAAACATATTGAGGGTGTTGGTGGTGGTAATGTATACATCTCACACCACTGTGTCCTGGGTTCAATGGCTGTACTATGTTGTTGACAATAATAATGAAGGAATTTTCATTAAACTCCAGTGAAGAAGAGAGGAACTATAGCTTAAAATTTATTCAAGAAACATCAAGAATGCAGTGGTCTCCATCCCTTCAACACTTTACAGAACTAATAAAAAAATCTTCACAAAAATATATCCAGTTCTAGCTGGCATGAACTGCTAACCAATGATAAAATAAGTTGTCCAGTTATGGTCCTGATATATTTGTGAAAAAATAGAGAAAAAACAAAACAAAAACAGTACATCTCTCACAAGACTCCTGGATGCACAGCTTAACCTGACACTTGTAAAGAATATTCATAAAAGTTTTTTCCTTTCTCCTCAAACATACAGTACAGGATTTACATTCCATCCATTACCTGGTACAACCAATGTTTTAGTGGAAATTATTTGTTTTAGCACATGAACATAAGAACATTAAAATGGAGGAAACTTCAGCGGGCCTATTGGCCCATACTGGGCAGTCCCATTTACACCCAACCCCTATTGCTCATATACTATCCATCCAACCTATGCTTGAAGCTATCCAGCGAATTCGAGTTAATGATGATATTTGGTAACTTGTTCCACTCGTCCACTACTCTATTTCCAAACCAATGTTTACCTATTTCGCGCCTAAATCTGAATTTGACTAATTTAAAACCATTGTTACGAGTTCGCTCCTGCTTGGATAGTTTGAGTACCTTTGTAATGTCCCCCTTGTTCAGCCCCGACTTCCATTTATACACCTCTATCATATTGCCCCTTGCTCTACGTCACTCGAGGGAGTGCAAATTAAGATGCTTTAACCTGTCTCTGTACTCAAGGTTCCTAATGCCCAGGATTAGCCTTGTCATTCTCCTCTGAATTCTTTCCAAGGACTCTATATCCATTCTGTAATACGGTGACCAGAATTGAACTGCGTAATCCAAGTGAGGTCTCACAAGCGCAAGATATAGTTTTACGATGACCTCGCTAGTCTTGTAACTAACACTCCTTTGTATGAACCCAAGTACTTTATTAGCCTTGTTTCGAGCAAATGCACATTGTTTACTTGGCTTAAGATTCCTACTTATCATTACTCCTAAATCTTTCTCGCAGTCAGATTTCTCAATAACATCGTTGTTCATCTGGTATATGGTTTCCCTGTTTACATCTCCTATACTGAGTACTTTACATTTGTCCACATTGAATTTCATCTGCCATTTTTCAGACCATTCAAAATTTTTTTTTAGATCTTTCTGTAGTTTTGCAGAGTCCTCGTCAGATATAATCACACGCCCTATTTCAGTGTCGTCAGCAAATTTACTTATGTTGCTGTCTACGCCAATATCTATGTTGTTTACATATATATAAGAAATAATAATGGTGTAAGTACTGAGCATTGGGGAACTCCACTTGTGACGTTGCTCCAATCGGATTTAGTGCCGTTAATGCTCACTCGCTGTTTCCTGTCCTGTAACCACGCTCTAATCCATTTTAGAATATCTCCTTTAATGCCATGAGCCTCCACTTTTCTTATGAGTCTTTCGTGGGGGACTCTGTCAAAAGCTTTGCTTAAGTTGAGATATACATCATAATTGTGCCCCTCGTCCACTGATTCGAAAACAGATGAAAAGAATGTTAATAGATTAGTTAGACATGAACGCCCACTTGTGAAACCATGTTGGGAATCATTGATTAACTTGTGCTTCTCCAGGTGATTTCGAATAGTTTGAAATGATTGCTTCCATTAATTTGCCTACAATTGATGTTAAACTGATGGACGGTAGTTGGAGGATAGTGATCTATCTCCCTTCTTGAAAATCGGTATTACATTCGCTATCCTCTAGGATTGTGGTACTACAGTGAGTTCTGCTATAACGCGTGTTTTGACAACGCAAATTGGCTCTAACGCGATTTATGAATAGAGGAACGATATTTGTATAACGCGAACGCTTGTTTGCTGTAACGTGATCTTTGCTTACTATTTCTTCAATTTTGTGGTATTAACTGTGAATATGGTAAAGAAGAATATCTCCAAGAAACATTCTGGTGATCGCATTCCCGGTGATGATCGTAAAAGAAAGGATATAACACTTGAAGAGAAGCTCGATGTTATCAACCTCAAAATCACCCTTCTCCCCCATCAAGTTATATTCATATTTTTTCAAGGTAAAGTGTTACATTTACTGTATGATTTCATTATTAGATATGAATGTAACATTTACTTAGACTGTGCTATCCTTTGTGTTAGGCGAACTACTAATTTTTTTTCGATTTCAAGTAGTAATCTACACCTAACCCTATTTTCTCCATAAGCCCTGTTATTTCTATTACGCGAATTTCTATAACACGATATTTTACAAGAACACAACTATCGCGTTATAGCAGAACTGACTGTACACCCATTTTTAAGGACATGTTAAACAACTTTGCTGAGGGCATACTCAGCTCTTCTCTACATTCCTTTAATACTAACATCGTTACTAGTCACTGCTATCTTGCTTAATTTATTTTCTTCACTATCTCTGTATAGAGTCGGTGTCTCGGGTATCATGTTTAAATTTTCAGTGGTGAAAACTGTTTAAAACTATTTATTCAAATTATTGCTCATTTCTCCGTCGTTATCAGTTAGCTCGCCGGTATCTGACTGTATTGGTCCAACCTTTTCTCGTGTTTTAGTTTGATACATTTGATAGAATCCCTTGGGGTTTGACTTCGCCTCCCTTGCTACCTCACTTGGACTTTGGTAAGAAAATTAGCTTTTCTAACTTTAAAGTCCCAGGAAGTGGACAGGACTTTAAAGCAGAGGGAAAGTGTAGCGTATGGTACCTGACCTGACCTAACCTAACAAAAGAAAAAACAAAAACCTAACCTAATGACTCTTTATATTTCAGGCTACATGAATTTACTATTCTAACATAACAGAGTGCAGAAGAATTACCATAAAAGAAAATCGACTCGGAATTAAATTCTATACAAAAGAAGACCCAATTGTCATCCTGTGGTCCAGGTCATGTGCTAAAATGAATATTAACGGTTTTAGGGACAACCCCAAAGAAAGGAAGCAAATATGAAATACATAAACATACATATATCACACTGGAGATAGGTTCTGCAGCCATATTAGGTTAGTCAGACAGAAGACCATCTTAGTACAGGCATATCAATTATTGTACGTATAGTCTGCCCACCATGCATGCTTACTAGGCTGCCGTACCTACAGTATGTCCTGTGCCAAACATAAAATGTGTTATTACTGTTCTCACATTTAATACGGCCAGCATAGGTAATAGTATAATGGAGCTGACCCATCAACCACGGATAATACAAGCACAGATTCATGGGAATGAGAATGGACTTTAAACAGCTTCCTTGGATAATTGGGTTACTCTTGGCTAAATTGAGTTAGTTCACCATTATTCATATACCTACATTGTTTGTGTATATCATAAACAATTATGAAATTGTGACTATTGTAATGAATAAAATAGCAATATATCATATCCAACCCTCATATTATTACCGTCTGGGGAGGAAAAAAATTATTCAAAGTCCAAAAGATGTCACTGATGAAACACGTCAAGATGTCAGCTATGTAACTCAACCATCTCGCTGACACTGCCTCTGAATCAGCCTCTTTTTCTAGATTTGTGATGTATTTCTTGAATTATAAAGCCGAGAGTGACAAGAGTGAGAGACAGTTATCAATGGCCCTCGAGTGTTGACGTGTTGTTAGGTTGTTTACATGGAGAGCCACACACAGGCATTACACCTTCACCAATTTATTAAACTAAAATATTATCTAAATAGGTTTTAAACTTTTTAAAAATTTTAAAATATGTATAAAATCAATAAAAAAACATCTAAATTTTCTATATTAAATTCTAACCATATTAAGAAAAGGTAAAGTAGTTATGTAAAAGGAAAATATCTGCTTACTAACTCTCTAAAATACTAGCTAAATACATTATAAAATCCCTAGATAACATCTATAATTTCCTATATAATAGTGTAACTATATTAAGTATGTTTTATATACTATTAAAAAGGTTTCTTCTATAATCAAATTATTATATATACAAAAATAAACTATATTATGTAGATTTGTTTATAACATTAATGATAGTTTCTTTTATTTAAAAGGTAAAATAATTATGTAAAGATGATTGAGCTAAAGTTATGTTATTACATCATCTTGTGGATGACTTTATTTCTTATCATTGCTACGTCATTTATTATATTTTCTCGTAATATCTAGACTAAAGGTGAATTTATTTTTATTAAGAGATTTACCATTACTGTTTTAATCATTGTCGTTGGTGTTTAATTAAAATATTTTATAATTAGTGTTGTTAATTAGTCTTTATAATTATATAACGTAAGGTTGAATGACTTCATAATACAGTAATAATAATAATATTGATCATGTTCCTTTGGTAAATTCATCTTTCAACTTTATATGTATAGTACTAACTAACTGAGAAAGCCATCTGTTACACTGTTACCAGATTATTTCTTGTTGGGTCTTTTTTCTGGAGTAAATATAGGTACTGGTACTATATATTTCGGCAAAGGCATCATCCAGGATCATGGGATTATACAGTAGTTTATAATGGTTTTAAATTAGACAAATTTTGATTTAGGCACGAAATAGGTAAACTATGGTTTGGAAATAGAGTAGTGGACGGGTGAAACAAGTTACCAAATATCATCATTAACTCGAATACGTTGGATAGCTTGAAACATAGGTTGGATGGATATATGAACAGTTTCCTTCATTCTTAGGTTCTCTACCCCTGTGGTGTTGGCAGGTGTGTCGAGTCGTTGTTATATACCTTTACTCAATGTTAATAAGTGTCACCAATGCCACTAACGGGTAGCTATTATAATTGATCTCTTAAACCAATACTCAGCTGGCCTGATGACTGATAAGTGGTGTTAAGTGATGAGACCATATGGTAGTTTTGTCTATGCCTTTTCTACACTTCAATCATTAAAGCTAAATAAATCATTTGATTGAGATTCACTGTTGTTAAATCTGTACATTGCAGGATATTTGGACGTGGATGTTTGGGCCATGGCCAGACATTTGGACCACTAGCTGTGTGTATGGTAGACGTTTAGGCCAAGGACTAAAATTTCCTGACTATTTTATAATCCCCTAAATACCCCCTGGGACTTCAGTCTTTGTAACCTTTAGGCTAGGTTAAGTTAGGTTTGGTTTGATAATTCATGTTCTGCTCACTGCTGTATCCTAGGTTTGGTTTGGTAATTCATGTTCTGCTCACTGTTGTATCCTAGGTTAGGTTTGGTAATTCATGTTCTGCTCACTGCTGTATCCTAGGTTTGGTTTGGTAATTCATGTTCTGCTCACTGCTGTATCCTAGGTTTGGTTTGGTAATTCATGTTCTGCTCACTGTTGTATCCTAGGTTAGGTTTGGTAATTCATTTTCTGCTCACTGCTGTATCCTAGGTTTGGTTTGGTAATTCATGTTCTGCTCACTGTTGTATCCTAGGTTAGGTTTGATAATTCATGTTCTGCTCACTGCTGTATCCTAGGTTTGGTTTGGTAATTCATGTTCTGCTCACTGTTGTATCCTAGGTTCAGGTTTGGTATCCTCACTGGTATCCTTTGGTTTGGTAATTCATGTTCTGCTCATCCTGTTGTATCCTACTGCTGTATTAGGTTTGGTTTGATAATTCATGTTCTGCTCACTGCTGTATCCTAGGTTTGGTTTGGTAATTCATGTTCTGCTCACTGCTGTATCCTAGGTTAGGTTTGATAATTCATGTTCTGCTCACTGCTGTATCCTAGGTTAGGTTTGATAATTCATGTTCTGCTCACTGCTGTATCCTAGGTTAGGTTTGATAATTCATGTTCTGCTCACTGTTGTATCCTAGGTTAGGTTTGATAATTCATGTTCTGCTCACTGCTGTATCCTAGGTTTGGTTTGGTAATTCATGTTCTGCTCACTGCTGTATCCTAGGTTAGGTTTGATAATTCATGTTCTGCTCACTGCTGTATCCTAGGTTAGGTTTGATAATTCATGTTCTGCTCACTGCTGTATCCTAGGTTAGGTTTGATAATTCATGTTCTGCTCACTGCTGTATCCTAGGTTTGGTTTGGTAATTCATGTTCTGCTCACTGCTGTATCCTAGGTTAGGTTTGGTAATTCATGTTCTGTTCACTGCTGTATCCTAGGTTAGGTTTGGTAATTCATGTTCTGCTCACTGCTGTATCCTAGGTTAGGTTTGATAATTCATGTTCTGTTCACTGCTGTATCCTGGGTTTAATCCTCGGTCCGGGGCAGACGTGGGAAGGTTGTTATATAGTGTGACGGTACGAAACACGGCAAGTTTCCTGTGGGTACTCCAGTTTTCTCCTCTACTAACATTGGACAAAAAAAAATCATTAAGTAGCAAAGAGAAGACTAACTGCAAGTAAACTGACAAGTGGTGAAACAATATATACAGATAAAGGTGGTCATTCATAGTGTATAATTTCCGACCTCTGACAGTGCTACAGTCGTACCGAGACAAAATTTTGGGTAAATTTTTGCAAGTGGACAACCATGGATTTTTTGTTTAGCAATGTGTTTTACTGGTGGTTTAGACAGTGTTAAGACACTTTTCTTCTATGACGTTTTTCTCGCAAATGACTTAAAATTACCTAACCTAACCTCCTAACTGGGGAGCTCCACCCCTCCTGGATCCCTTGGTATATTTAAGTCATTTGCAAGGGAAATGTCATAGAAGAAAAGTGTCCTAACATTGTCTAAACCATCGGTAAAACACATTGCTCAACAAAAAATCCATGGTTGTCCACTTGCAAAAATTTACCAAGTAATGTTCTTAACGTCTGTTGTATTCTTGTGACAGATATGGAGAGAGGATTGTCGTCATACTGTCTCTCGTGTGTTGTCCTGTGTTGCACCGTTGAGGTGGTCTGGGCCGGAGGAACACAAGAGGCTCACCACTATGACTTGGGCGACATCATGGCAATCATCATCTTTGTAACCATTGGAATTCTGGGATTTTTGGCTTGTATAGGAGCTTACTCTAGAAGGAGAAGAGAAAGTTTCTATTCATAATATACTACATACTGTGTAGAGATTTTTACTCGGCTGACTTCGTTCAGAACAGGTTCATATTCCGGTAATGGATTTTTATAAAATGAGCAATGCATTATACTCATCATTTGGTAATCTAACAATTAACATGGACCAAAATATATGTGCTTTTATTAATGACAAATTATATATTTTGTTCATCTAAACCCAAGAGAAAACAAGTATTAGAATGTTGGATAGTTTCATTCATCAGATGCACTGTAATTTATCACTCTTAGGTATGCGAGCATTGTTTTCCATTTTTATATTTTTCTACTTCGGAAGTTAGAGAATCACTTTGTATACTGTATGTCAAGTATGTGTGGATATTTGTACCTGTGGTTCTGATCTTGTCCTACTGTCATGTTCCCTGTTGTGTCTCTCTCTCTCTCTTTCCTATTGTTAAATGAGAGAGAAGTAAAGGTGATAGGTAATTTATTGTAATAATGATTTTTTTCAGTATTCACCAATAATATGGTGAATTTTAAATAACTTTTGATTAGGTAATTGCAGTGAATAAAAGTTTTATTTGAAAAAGTTTCTGAGAAGTGATTACTTTTTATAATATTTTTGATAGGGAGCTTGAGAGAACTGAGACAGTTATTATGTTCTTATCATGAGACACAACAAAGGGGCAACTGATAACATAAAGGACATTGTACTGTACCGTATTCGGCAAATTCTCACTTTATTCCAATAGAGTTTGAATGGGGAAAATATATGTTGGTGTAGAAATGAAAGAATCTGGTGAGTTTGTTCTGGTCTGGATTGAGAATAATTTACAGTCTTTCAAGCTAGGACTACTGTACTGTACTGTATTGTATTTTACTGTATACAATATTATACTGTATTGTATTGTACTGTACTGTACTGTACTTTATTGTTTGTATGACTGCTCTATTGAGATTTTTGGGTTAAAATTAAAGAAAGAGTGAACATTGTAAATGGGTTCAAGTGGAGGTGAATAAGTAATACAGTACTGTACGTACATTATTTGAACAGAGTACTGTACAGGTGCTCCTATACTTGAGAACGTTCAGCTTACAAACTTTCAGAGATACAAACATCATCACTGAGGGGGGGTTACCTGCCAGAACAGGTGTTTAATGTGGATGAGACTGGATTATTTTGAAGAAAATTCCAGATAGAACAAACATTACCTAAGAGGAGAAGAGTGAGCCAGTTTTTAAGGCTGTATTAAAGGGTATAGCTGTACTAAATAACCATAATCTTTTCATTTTTCACAATATGTTTGGTATCTACAAGAGTAAAGTTGGACTTACAAACAATTGGACATGCAAACAAGCCTCAGGAACTAAACTCGTTCATAAGTAGAGGAGCACCTGCATATTTCTGTATGTAAAGTACACTACTGTATTGTGTGCAAGTGATATGGGTGCAGTAGTGAAATACACTATCTTTTTTTTTTTTTTTATGAACTTTAAGATGGAGAGTGGTTTGTTTACTCAAACTCTTGTTATGACAATTTAATAAAATAGATTGTTATTAAAAGTTGTACAGTATTAAAAAATTTCACCTCTAGATTCAGTGTATCTATTGATTATTGAATCCCAGTACTGTGTTACACAAAAATTGTGTTGTATGCAGTTAAAATATTGGACTGGTATATATACTGTACACTACTGTACTGTACACAATAGATAACACCCCACCAACTCTTGTACTGTAGTGGAGTTGATCTGAGCACTATTGACCAACTTGTAAAAAATCCTAACTTGGTAAACAGCCCTAATACTTGGAGTGGAATGACAGAAGCTTGAAAATACATCCTGAATTGTAATGTATTTATCTGATTGATCCCTTCACGATGGGGACGTCACTTTTAATATTTTAATTAGCTGACACCAGAAGATTTTCTTCAGCATAGAGAGACCCCCATATATAAGGAGTTAATGTACAGTTGCTCTAAAAACTATATTTACTAGGGGGGATCAATGAATTTGAGAATGAACACTGTGACTTCTGTTGTCTCAGTAAGGTTGTCAACGTCTTGGTCCGCATATTGTCAAACATAATTTTTGTAAAGATAGTTTTTTAGCAACTGTACTGTACACTCATTAGTTTAAAAGGGAGTTTCACGCATTAGATGATTATGCTGAAGGAAGTGACAAACTCAAGTTGGCCTTTAAAGGGATCATCTGTCAGTGTTTATCCTCACTAGTTCACCTGAATACTGTCATGTCTAAACATCAAGGATCATCCACTAGAAGGTTTTGCTGAAGTTCAAGAATATTGTATTTGAATACACTAAAAGAGTTCTATTTCAGATATGTGAGTGGTAAAAGTATGAACAAAGCTGAGAGAGCAGTGTAGTAACCATGTCCAAAGGATTAAAAAAAAAATAATAATAATTCTGCCACTGTTCAGTGCTAGTACAGGGGGAAACCAGAATAACTGGAGGAACCTTGTGATGATTGGTAGTGAGGGTTACACTGGATGACATCCTTCACATGTGTCTGGGCCAAACAGGACTCAAACCCATGACATGGTTGTGAGAAATACTTTGAGTTACTGCTGTACGACCAACACTCCCTAATTTTTGTAAAAAATATGATTGTGTTCTGTCTCCCAGCAGATTATACAATACTGTATACCAGTAATATAAATGTTTTGCTTTGGTAGACAAGATCTATGTTGGGGTCTGGGGTCTGATACAGAAGTGTAGCATACAGCATTTGGTAACTGAAGGCTGAGATGATCTTATACATTGGCGTTGTGCTGTTGTCTGATGGTACTTGACTACTGTATTTTAAATGATGGATGAAATAAAATGCATATCAAAGACACACCTTACAGGAATTTGGTAATATATATAACAGTAAGAAACAATGCTGCTGGGTCGTCCATGGGTCGTGGATGGTGGCCTGGCCTCAGCCTTACAAGATGATGGCTTTTCTGTGGATGGACACCCACTCTGGAGTGCCCGCATCCTGGCCACCAATCCTGGAGCAGTCAGGAAGGTAATTTTGTTTTGTTTAATGCCTATTGTATGGTATAATAGAGTACCTGTATTCCTTTTGTTTGATATGTTAACCTGTATTCCATTTGTTTGATATGTTAATAGCTACATGTTTTCTATGGATGCTGCCAGTTGAAAATTATGCTGGGTATGGAGCCCAACAATGGAATTATGAAATCAACATTTATCATTCCCTTTGTGGTAAGGTTTACTTAATGGCAATGATATGAACAATCATTTATAAAAGTTGGTCATTATACAGTACGTCAACTAGATCTTAGTTCATCTGTACAAGAGTTCAATATCCATTACAAATACAATTAACTAAAACTGTGCTATTACAGGTTCATACAACATTCTTAGAGGCAGGAGCAGACATCATCATCACAGCCAGCTACCAGGCAAGCATTCCAGGGTTCCAGGATCACCTGGGTACTACACAAGATGAAGCAGAGAGGATTATGAACACCTCAGTGTCATTAGCCAAGGAAGCAATCCAAGAATACGAAAGTAAATTCACTGACAAAGGTATAACTTGGTTTTATGACATTTATTGGATTCATTCTCAGCTTATGTACAGTACTGTAGCTGCACAGTTGTAAAAGTGAACTTCTTTCTAATGCTTTCTCCAATTTTTGTAGTCAGTGTAACATTAGTTATGAATCTAAGACAGTCATAGGAAAACAGCCTGGAACAAGGTGTTAAGTCTTCTTCATGGGTGAATATAGTCCAATTTGACCATTAAATTTATACTATAACACTAAACTATGAATTTTTACTTTAAATGTTAAGTAACAATTTGTTTACTTCTGAGAATTATAAAATACAAATATTGAAGTGATTGAACACAGTGAAGTATACCTATAATACTTAAATGGTGGGTAAAGATTCCATAATCTGCCACCATGTGTGAAAACTGGAATACAAGAAATGTGAAGCATCCATTGACATTGGCCATCGTCCTTACAGTTAACATCAGTTGATGTTTCCTTTCACTTTTTGTTATACTGTTCTGTGTTATCAGCACTGGAGATATTATTAAATGATATTATTTGACCTTACTGTACTGTACAGTACATATATTTTCAGAATCTAATTTCAGTTCGAAAGCTGCTAGTTGCTGGCTCCATTGGTCCTTATGGTGCATGTCAAGCTGATGGCTCAGAGTATACTGGTGCTTATATGTGTAAAGTTACTCCTGAATATCTCAAAGAGTGGCACAGACCTCGTATGGCAGCTCTGGTTAATTCTGGAGTGGACCTCCTGGCAGTTGAGACTATCCCAGCTCAGGCTGAAGCCTTGGCAATTCTAGACCTACTTCAAGAGTTCCCAGACACAAAAGCCTGGTTGAGTTTTTCATGTAAGGTTTGTGTTACTTGACATTGATGTTATATATACAGTAATGTTATTACTGGACTTCAATAACTAAGATCTTTAAGCATGTAACAAGGTTAGTAATTACACTTGTCCATCAACAGTTAAATAGCTATGAGAGATAAATTATTTACAATGTAAGTAAAACAATGAACAGATTTGCTTGCTCTTTAGACAAAGAACACCAACATGGATTATTACTTAGGGGAAATTACTCAAACCAAGCAATGAATATTCCCATTCGACTCAATGAACTTTGCTTCCTCCATTTCATTTCATTATTCATAACCAACCTTCATCATCTAGGATAGTCAGCACACTAATTATGGAGATGATTTTGGGGAAGCTGTCAAGAAGTGTCATGAGAGAGCAGTAGATCAGCTGATAGCAGTCGGCCTAAACTGTACTCCACCACAGTATGTCACTTCACTGCTGGAGAAAGCAGACACAAGCCTTCCTTCACCCTCCATACTTCCCAGAGTTGTGTATCCTAACTCTGGAGAGGAATGGGTCGCTGGCAAGGGGTGAGTCATATAATTATCCATTTGTATTATGAAAACTCGAGTAAATGTTAAATACAGGAGGCCCCCCCCAAGTTCGCGGATTTTTATTTCGCGGTCCTCTATTATTCGCGGATCACACCCTGGATGTACCTAAGAATGCCTGTAGGTAGTTTTAAAGTTGCCGGCATTTTCACGGCTGGGACAGGGAGCCATTCGTTCTAGAGACAGTAATTTCCTTTACCTGTATTGTAAATATGTATGTGTGTGTGTAGACACACAAAACACATACAAGTAAATAATACTGTAATTGGAAAATACTCTCACAAATAATCAGAAACTAATTTATTATAAATGTGACAGTCTATCCTTAAGTCCGTGCTTTATTACTTTATTAATAAAGCAAGGACTTGAGGGTATACCGTCACATTTTTAATAAACTTGTTTCTGATTATTTGTGAGAGTATTTTCCCATTATTATTTATTTGTATGTGTTTTGTGTGTGTCTACACATATATACAATATAGGTAAATAAGAAATAATTGACCTAAGGGCAAACATATAAAGGGAATATATATTTCTTTGTACACAAGTACAAATTTAACCCCCCTTCCTCCCGGTCCGCAAATATTATTCGCGGATTTGGCAATTCGCGGCCATTTTCAGAACCTGACCCCCTCCCCCCCTCCCGCGAATTTGATGGGGCCCCCTGTACTGTACAGTAAAACTTCCATATAACAGACTTCTCTTTCCATGCAATCTGTCAGATGGGGTTTCATATCTAACGGACCCTTGATATAACGAGCTTTCATCTCTATATAGTTTGTTAGATGGAGGTTTCACATCTAGTGGACCTCGATATAATAGACTCTCCTCTTCATATAGTCAGTTAAATAGAGGTTTCCCTGTAGTATATGCTGTACTTTATTGAGCAATGTTTACCTATTACACTACAGAAAAATAGATACAAACTTAGCTTAATACTTTACTATGAATAAGAAAATCTTAATTAAATAATTTCTTGTGTTTCAGGTGGGCTGGTAGAAGTGCACATTGGCCTTTCTTGAACGAGGTTAAAAAATGGCAAGTACTCGGTGCATCTGTGATTGGTGGATGTTGTCGACTAAGACCCAATGATATCAGAGACATTGCTAGTGTTGTAGCTCCCATTTCTAAGAGAGATATATAGTGGGTATTAAAGCAGGTACTAGAGTGTATTGTAGTTTCAAGAACCTTGCCTTTATCATACACTGGTCATGATTTAAGCATCAACATAGAAACTGTCAGTCTTGGTTCAGGAGGATCACAAAATAACATAAAATATCATGGTGTGGAACAACTTACCCCCACCCATCCTTTAAATTATCTCTCAAAAAATATATATTGTCTAAGAAGTAATATTTTTGTAATACCTACTTTTATTGTACCACCAAAACCATTATACCTGTATCGGAAATTGTCTGTGGATAGATAGTAATTACCATTGCAATAATTACATTTACCGACAGGACATGATACTGACAGCCCTGTCCTCTTGTTTCACCTTAATACAGCCCATGTTGTACTGCTTCCCTCCCTTATCATGTTTATGTATATCAACTCCACTGTAAAGTATGTATGCTGAACTTATATAAAAATAAAGAAAAGAAATAAATAACGAGGTGATAACCGTGGTAACATTCTGAGTTAAATGTACAGTACTGTATATATCAGGTGCCTTCAAGAGAGCTCAGGCTCTCAACTGGCTCAGCCATGTTAATATTGTTATTATAATCGACTATGTCTCTGTATTTTTCTGGCTAAATAAAGTTTCAATATCAATTTAATATCAACACTGTACTGTACTGTAACTCGGGTTTTTAGGAAAACTGTAAATACAGAAAATGGAGCTTTTATTTTTCAAACATTTATGGTACAGCTTTGAGATCAAAGTTTGAAACATAAAATGTGTTTTCCTTAATAAGAGAAATATACATAAATATATCTATGGTTTAAAAGGCAAAACCTTTTGTGCATAAATAAATCTTACTTCAGATCTAAGGATATTGTTAAGATTTTCAAAAAATCTGAAAAAATCTTTCACACTGCTAAAAATTTTATGAAATACTGTACCAAATTTAAAATCTTGTACAGCCTGAATTAACATTTCAGTATATTTATGAAATATTCGGTCAACACACACAGTAGTGGGTCAGGAGCCATTTATCCCATATACTGTACTGCAATTATTAAATGAACCAACAAAAAATCTTCTGAATTTTTGGCTACATTATTTTTGCTTTACTCTAACAAGTTCATTTAAATTTCAGTGTAGTTATACTCATGGAAACTCTGAATATGTGATAACTGTTATTGCAATACTGTCCCTGGCTGTCTACACACTATATTATTGTTATTCTACCTGGGTTTCCCTACTCTGCCCCAAACCTTCAAAAATGGAACACAAGGAACAAGAAACATCTACTGAAGATGGTCAATGTCTCTACAGCTAACTTCCGCTGATGATGGCAGCAACTTAAGGGTTAACCAGCTCTACTCAGCATCAAAATAATTATCAAAATTTTGCTTAAAATATCAAAAGAACAGATGTAATACCTATAAAATTGTAACAGAATATAGTCACCCAGTATGACTCCTCTTCAACACCACCATCTCTGGGTTATCACTTCTTACAACTTAATCTCGTATAATCTTATCAACTAAAGGAAGCAACAGTTGTTACTTTACTCTGAAACTTTTGTAACATCAAGGCAATAATTACTTCACATCAGTTCAACAAGGCTTAAGACACTAAGAAACATTTGTGTTGGAAGTGTATATGACTGACAGAAATTAATGTATAGTAATCTAAAATAGTTACAATGTCTGCATTTGGCTCATGTTTTTCATTTTATTTGGGTAAAATATGGAAGCACTACAATACTATAAACATTACTCAGCTGTTATTTAACACATAGCCTTCCTTTGACTCTCAGCTCACTGTGCGAACACTATACTGTACACACTGTTCTGTCACACAGTCTCTCCTGCTACAGTAATATTTCCAACTTGTTCAAACATTTAAAAATAGATAACTAATATCAGTTACATCGTAATTTACAGTTAAAGGTACTGTATCCTTATGATATTGTTTAAAGAACTTAATATATGAAAACACACAAAAGGCAATTGGTTGATCTTCATTAATACTAAAGATTTATAACGACAATATCACTTAAGAGAGATTCTCTACAGGTCAATTCACGCTCATTTCAACAGCAGCAGGTTTAAGGAATGTAGTTTGAGAAGAAAAATATGCACAAGGATGAGTGAAAATGCATTACATTGCCAGTGTGTAGTGTACTGATCATGTCAATTCTGTTATTTATTCTGTGACATTTGAACTAGCCATCAATAATACAATACAGCTACTGTATACAGTATAACAAAATCCTGAACATCAGAATTCAGTAAGACATAATTTCAGATATACGGTAATGTAAAAATAAAAAAAAATAATAGTAATGCTGGTGTGAGAAATAATGAATGATTTAGTTAAGTCTAATTCCTTCATGTTATACAGTGGTCCCTCGGTTAACGAACTGCCTTCCATAAGATTCTTAAATTCGGTTAACGAACAAAAATTCGGTTAACGAATTTCTTACGAACCGACCTCAACATGTTTTCGCTTGCACTGGCCGGTCAACCAGCTTTAGTATTAGTCCGCCAATACATTAATCGGTTCTAGGGATTAAATTCCTTACTATTTTAGTAAATATCAAGAAGTTTATACTATTCAATAATTTTAAAAGTTTAATATTAACTTTTTTAGTCATTTTAACAATTATTGAACATAATTGAAGGTAAAGAAACTAGTTTCTGGCGTGCCATCCAGCCTGTTAACACACCAGACAGGCGTTAGTGTCTCTGTTTTCAGTGAAGGTAACATCTTGCCTGACTCTCTCTTCAACTAAATGCTTTTTTTCTGTTTCCAAGCAAATTATTGGTCATTTTGAAATATATTTTACATATTGACAATATATAATGCAGTGCAGTGTTGATTTAAAGAAAATAATCTTGAAATACACCAAGAGAACTAAAATTTTATGGGCGAAATGGTGCCATGGGGTGACTTCTCTTCCACCCCAATGCCTTCTCTTCTTCCTTCTCCTCCACCTCCCACTTCAAATGCACATCATCATCATCATCCAGGAGCCTTCTACATACACACCTCAGAGTAAGTGAACTTTTCTACCATTTTTGTTGAATTTAGACAATTTTCGATGAGCTGGAACCAATTACCCAAAAACCCATTGAAACAATGGTTTCGGTTAACGAACAACCTGCTGGAACGGATTGTGTTCGTTAACCGAGGGACCACTGTACAAACTAATAACATAAGACTTGAAACAGGTGAAAATAGCATACCACACCTAGCTCCTTGCCCTGTGCTTCAACCCATCCATCTGGCTCATCTATCTTTCAGCAATATACATTCAATCATCCTTCTAGTTTAATTATCTTATACCATTACTACACTTCTCCATCTCCTAAGTATTTTAAACCCATCAATCTGACTCATCCATCTTTTAACATCACCTCATCCCTCCACTCATCTTCACCTGACACTGCTAAATATAATTACCTCATCTAACATAATGAAAAATCACCAATCAGAATATCCATAGTCCAAAAACACACAATATATCTGCCATGACAGAGGGACATATATTTCTGAAGATTGCACTATGTTCCCTACACTGCCTTAGCGCAGGTCACCATTTTGTCATTGTTCTACCATTCTGAATATGAGTTGTACCTGACGTCACATCCATCACCCCAAAGTACATGATAAAAAAAGAAAAGGAAACGTCCATAGCTGATGTGGCCACTAATAAATACATTATGATTTAACTCTTTAATGATTATGATTTAACCCTTTAATGATTATGATTTAACCCTTTAATGATTATGATTTAACCCTTTAATTATGATGATTTCACCTTTCTGGACTCGAAGGGTTAAAACACTAGTATAGGCACAGTGTCTGTAACCCTGAAGTATCAGTAATTAGACCACTTTCTTGTACATAACAAAGAATTCATCCAGAGAGATCTTCCACTGTGCAATTTTGCTGCCTACAATTCCCTAGCCAATTGAAATTTGGACATTTTGTTTGAATGGTGCTATAATTTAACTAAATTGATAAACTTATACTACAGTATAGTCTGGATTTACGCACTTTTGGTTAACGCGTTTGGTCATTTACACGGTGCCTTGCCAGAATTGAAATGCTTTAATTACGCGGTAAATTTGGTCATTTACTCGGAAAGCGCCTGGAGGTCCAGACGCGCTGCGCCATTTTGTATTCAAGCGGCCCATGCTTGACCATAAGCGGGGGAAAGCGGCGCGAGTAAGGTTGCACAGTATGTCGATGTTGCGTTATCGGTGACGTCATATGACGTATCGGACTGTGATTGGGCCACGCATCCTTACCTCCCTCCCCCACTAGCTGTGATTGGTTCAATGAAATATGACGTGCCCTGCCACCAGAGAGAAGAAGCCACTGACCTACCCGTGTCAGTCGCATTGTTCCCAGTCACCGCGTGTATACTGTGCTCTATTGTGTTCGCTAATCTCGTAACAATGGAATCCGCTGGAACCCCACCACCACAGAAAAACCTTGCATTACCTGGACCCAGCCGCCCCAAGCCAAAGAAGATACGACGTGCCCTAAGTTACGAAGTTAAGTACAAGATCGTACAAGATTTATAAAAGGGAACGAAACAAGTTGATTTGGCACGCCAGCATGGCGTGAATGAATCTACGATCTGGACAATCAAGAAGGATGCCGCCAAGATAAAAGAACACATGAGCATCACAAAGTCTGCAGGTGCTTCAATGATGAAGTGCTGTCAGAACAAGGTGCTGCTCAAGACTGAGAATTTGCTGGTGAGCTACTTGATTCGTCAGGCAAGACGGAAAATGGCGGTGGACACGCGGTCAGTTCAGGAGTATGCCCGTGAACTGTAGGTAGCAGTGGCACGCAAGATGGGAATTGCAGAGCCCAAACCCTTAACTGCTTCCTCTGGGTGGCTGCAAGGGTTTAAAAAAAGAAACAAGATTACCAACATTAACATTGTTGGTGAAAGTGGTAGTGCTGACCATGTTGCAGCGAGTTATTTTCCTCCATTTTTACGAGAAGTTATGGAGGAAGGACAGTACACCGACGACCAGGTGTTCAACATGGATGAATCCGGTCTGTTTTCGAAAAAGCTACCTACCAAGGCCTTTGTTGTCAAGTCTGCCAGCAAGTGTCGGGGCCGGAAGTTGCAGAAGGAGCGCATCACCGTCCTGTTTACCACCAATGCCTCCGGTACCTGTAAGCTCAAGTTATCGGTGATCCACACAGGCCGCAAGCCTACAAGAACATGGACATGACCAAGCTAAATGTCCACTGGTTAACCGCACGTAAGGCGTGGATGTTCACTGGTCTGTCCCTCTCCTGGTTTGATGACTGTTTCATTCCCGACGTGAAGAAATTCTGCGAGCAACAAAATTTTCCATTCAAGATTTTGTTGCTCCTTGACAACGCACCAGGACACTCGCCCCTACTTATGGATCGTCACCCCAACGTAAAATTGGTCTTCCTTCCTACCAACACTACGTCATTAATCCAGCCCATGGATCAAGAATTAATTTGTAATGTGAAGGCTGCTTTCTCTGCAAAAAAGTTTCGGCTCCTTAATGACTTGACCAACACCAAAGATGAGTTGCGGAACCTGGGTGACACCGATAGCAAGAGCGACGACAATGAGGAAGAAGAGTTGGCGGAACAAGAAGTTCGCATCAAACAGTTTTGGAAGAAATTCAACGTCAAGAAAGCTGTTGATTTCTTGGTGGAGGCATGGGGGCAGCTGTCTGTGTCAACGATTCGTCACGTGTGGCGGCATGTGTTGCAAGGTATCCCAGGTGGGAGGCAGAGGCAACCTGTGACTGGTGAGGTTCAGTCTGTTGCAGTGGCAATGGACCTTGCAAGAGAAGCTGCACAGTGTTACAACTGCAGACTTCTCCGAGACCACCAACGAAGACATTATGGAGGTGATCAGGGATCCTGAGGTGACTGCCGACGAGATGTTGGAAGATGATGACGTCAGTGAAGATGCAGGTGGTGCGGCAGCCCGAGAAGAACATAAGTTAACACATGGTAATGTAAAGGATGCCATCGAGTTTGCCGAGAAACTCAAGCTCGTCCTTTCCAACGACCCTGACGGTCACAGCTATGAAGTCTTCAATAACCATCTGTTGCAAACTATGGAGCCGTACATCACGATGTATCACGAACACATCAACACTTGCCGTCAGCGTAACATCACAGACTTCTTCGCCCGCAACCCACCACAGCCAGCCCAAGTCAGTGATAGTGACAGTGATGTTGACTTTGAGGGATTTGTCAGGGAGGCCCTGACAACTATGGTGGATAGTGATGGTGATTCACCTGAGGGCCTGTAATCTGCCCTCTGCCTCGGAACCAGCCCCCATCCCCGTATGCCGACCCATCTCTTCTACTAACATAAGTGTTAAACCTTGATTTTTCTTTTACCTGGTACAGTATATTATTCTCTTATTGATATTTAGCTTCTATATTAAGTGCATACCATCATAAAGTTAAGATACTATTTTTACTACAACGTACGTATTGTGTCGGCAAAAAGTGGAGTTTGGGGGTAGGCCCAGTCTCTATTTCAATTAATCCCATATGTTCTGATATTTCATTTACGCATTTTACGCGGGCCTCCACAGGTTCAATTGACCGCGTAAATCCAGACTATACTGTATGTGGTTATTGATGTCAGGTAGTCCAATCCGAGTCCACCAGTACAGCACTTATCAGGCATTTTGGTATACAGTTAACTACTAAAGTCCATTCACCTCTCCCCATTAACCATGAACCCAGAGATTCACTCATGAACCCGAAGCAGTAGACTGATACATTATTCTGTCCATAAATACTTTGGATTCATTTGTCTGAATCTTGGGGTTCGTGGTTCAGTGGGAGAGGTGAATGGACTTTAGTAGTTGACTGTAAACTATGCCAGCACCTCATACACTGGTGACTGAAATACAAGTTGTCCCAGAACACTAAATGTTACCAAGAAAGCAATAAAAACATCTTAAAATGGTGTTGTGTACAGTACAGTCATCTAACAAATACAGGTATTCTTAATCCTATATCTTCTCAACTTCATCTTCTAACATCTGCTGAAAAATAAAATGTTTATCAAAGTAATTTTTGACGTGGTAGAGCAGTTCGCTTCATTTCCTGTGTAAAGAACTCTGGAAAGACCGCATTGTATGGGAAAATTTTTCTTTCAGTTCCATCTATACCTTTAATTATTGACTTTCTACCTAAGACATATTTGACTACCATGCACCCTCACATAGTACAGTACCCTAAAAAATACAGTACTGTATAAAGTGTACAGGGTATATATATTTTTCACTTCTCTCCATTCTAGCTAATTTTGAATTTAATTACATTATCTATTTAATATTTTTCTTATTCAATCACATATTTTTTTACTGCAAGTGCAAAAGGAATACCTGGACTATGATGCAGAATTTTTGAACATATAGTATGTTCTTGAAACAAACATATTGTATTGAGTTTTTAGCTGTACAATAAATATGCTGTACTACTTATTGCAAAATTATAAATGAACTATGGTAGGTTATTAAATAAAATCCTTTCCCTGCAAAACACTACATAGACAGTCACCTTCACACACACTTGAATTTAATACAGTATCCCAATAATTTTTTCTAATTGTATCTCACCTCTAGTTATACAGTATTTACCTAATGTTGGAGAACATTCAACATTAATCTAGGCTGCCCCCATATGCAGGAAAATGGAATGTAAGCGTGGAAAACAACAATAAAACATTGATGATGACGATGATGAAGGAACACAAAACGTCCACAGATGATGGCTGCCATCTCTACAGTTGCCTTACACTTATGATGTCTGCCATTTAAAGGTTAAGTTATCTGATTATATTATTGAGTTTTCTCTATATCACTATTTGCACAGTTTTTTACCCTACAGTATACATATTTCATACTTTAAAAACTCATTTACTCTTCCACCAATGATAAAACAATTAAATTAAAAACTCCAATCTCTACCCATCAATCCACTATCATAATTCCTCTTCCAATTTTCTGTCGAGTTGAAAAAGAGATGCAAAATATCAAGTAAGAAGAAAGACAAAGAGAGCGAGAGTAAAGAGGTGCATCATGACATAGAAACACTCAAACGTAGACTGTCTCACATTTTCAACTGGCCTACTTGGTAAAGAAAGTGAATCCCTCAACTTTCAAGCTGACTTAAGAGACTTCTCAAAATACTGTGTTGACACTTTACTCCCCTTCTGCACATTGCTGAGCCTGATTTAACTATGGGCCATTTATCAGGGAACAGACTGCCATGTGTACTGCCTATACTTCCCCGACTAATCCACACAGTCAAAGTATATTGAAGTATAAGAATTACTCTCTCTCAGACTGTCCCTCTTTGAACCACCAATGCATTTAAATTTCTATCTACCTATTATATTTATTCCTCTCGTCTTTGTGTGTAATGCATCAAGTGGTACAAAAACCTCAAAGAAACATGGAGGAACGGATGACAAGGTGGAGTGATGCAAAACAAATGGCAGAAAGACACAAAAAGACAAAGACAAAGAGTACAGACACACCCATACATACTTGTTCATATCCTCAACTTACATATGATGTACACAAAGTGAGTTCTTAGCCTCTAATTGAATTTACAATGCTTGATATCAGTTCAAACTCTTCATTTATACACATAAAAGGTAACAAGAATATCTCTCACATCGACTTTGAGAACAGGAAGATGCACATGTGATTCTCTGAAGACTATCTAGTGATAACATATAACAACATTTTGTAACTCTTAAGATAAGTTGACATAAGGGATGCATGTTCACCCTGGATGGTTTTAGGAAAATCATGAAGCTAAAGCTATTTACTTCATATGAGGAATATACAAAAGATATATCACTGCTGAATATACCATTCATTATACACTTGATGTAACATTAATGTAAGTCTTCCCACATTTTATCTTAAACCCTAAATCTAAAGGTAAAATTCTAAATAATGACAGTCTCACTGCAGCACCATTGAGGAGTTTGTTCCAATGGTAAATATTTACACCAATATCACTAAAAAGGTAAGAACACGTTGCCCTCATTTATACTGTACAGTACAGTACCAGCATCTCAACAACCAGATTCACACTAACAAAGTTTACTTCTTACCTCCAAACTTTCATTTATACTGAGTTAAAGTTCACATGTACAGTACTACACAGTGCATCACACTTTTCATCTTCCCCAAGAATGCAGGTCATTTCTCATGTACATTTCTTACAATACCTGTTCACTGGAATGCTTATAAAACATCCTAGACAATAGCAACACTTTCTGAAGGTTGATGTGTGAAGGCATTTGTGTGGAGATGGAGCACTACTACCATGACTTAACCACAATTTCAAGACTTGAATCCTGCTTCATAATGCTCTAAGTCAGCCACTGCACCTAACTGACCTAATATGCCTCCCAACACCATTGCCTGCACTGCTCAGGGTGTGGTAGTAACATGTGGATTACTGTATACTATTTAAGGCAAACATCATATCATATCAATTGTTTGAAGCTATTGACTGGCCATGTAATTTACTACTCACCTAATATCAGCCTGTCTTCTTGCAGAAGACAACAAAATATACTGGTAAGTGGAGTATAATTGTTTATAATGTTCATTCAACAACATTTATACTATTTAAGCAATAAATTACTAATACAGAAGTAATGTACTGTATATGATGCAGGAGAAACTAATATACAGCAGTACAAAATCACCATCAATGGGGGAACTTTGGCTGTGGCTGGGAACATAAAGCCCCTTTGACTATGGCAACTTGAACCCCTTTAACTATAGCAACATTAACCTCCTTTAATTATGGCAATGTGAACCCCCTTAACTATGGCAACAAATTTATATGACATTATTTATATCAATGTCACTTATACTGGCCTCTTATGAGAACACAACCCCCCAGTATAAATGTGGGCAACCTGCATTATAAATTCTACTATTTTTGGTTGGAGCATAGACAGGTATTTTTCAGTCTTCTGTTAACATACATTTCTTAAGATTATCTATAATTAAAGTACACTTGAACAGCCTGAGATAGTAGTTATAAATTATGTAAAGAAACAAGATGTCACACACTCCAATATCAAAATTAATTCAGTTAATAATGATAAACTGTGAAGATTTATGATTAATGAGTTACTGTCCTGCTCTGGCATGTCTTTACTATCCTTATTACCCTTACATTATCCAGAGGTAAACTGACAAGCTTATGTTTATATTTTACTTTTAAGATTATAGAACATATCCATTGTCAGTCCTCAAAATGTATTACAGTAACACCCCTAGTTGGTCATGTCAAGACGCCATTAACCATTGTATGTCTTATGACTGCAACTACTCGTACAATCACAGTTCAACATTTCTTTATATATACTGAGTTATGATTGACTTAACTTTACCTCTTCCCTCTTATGGTTCAACATTTCTTCCATATTCTTATCTAATTATCCAGTACTCACTCAACATAAAGTTTAGTGTGCCCTTGTCTTCAGTCTTTATAATGAATATAATGTGCTTTATGATGATGCTTCAATACTGGCTTTAAAAGCTTTGTACAATGCTAAAAATTCAATACAAACTCTGATGAAGTAAAGCTTCTTACTCTACAAAAGGGAGTCTTTCCTATTGTTATTTGTTTAACATCTGAGGTAATGAGTCATTCATGTTTAGTTCCACTTTATATACTGTACTAAGTCTACCAGGATGGTCGTTGGTCATGATATCAAATAATATGATTAAATATTTACAGTGAAATTACCTGTTATTTTGAAAATATGCCTCAGAAGCTCATAACTACAAAACTTGTGAAACAGGATTAAAAATTCACCAATAAAAAACTTCTTAGTACTGTACATGTACTGTACAGTATATGCCCAAGGAAGAATTCAGCAAGCCATATATACACAGAAAATAAATTTATCATCAAAAACAAGTTCTGGTTGCATATGGATTACTTCTTATTTGCTATGAGGAAATAGGAAACATGAGAATATTAATGCTGTAAGGAACTGTGAAGAAATACCTTTAATAACACAGGCAGCAGTACAGTAATTCCTGCCTCCAGTTATAACACTATACTGTACACCCGTCATTATTTTTTAGATGTTTTTGATTTATGATAAGGATGACTAGAAGAATGATATGATCTGTTTGTGGCTCCCTGGGGTTTGGGTCCTGGTTTCCTCTCAATAAATGCGTAAGTGACAGAGGTTGGTCTCGCTGCACTGGCCCCAACATCTGGGGTCAGGTCCACCTTGAGGTGATCTTCTTCAAGTAGTTTCAGTTTTGCCTCTAAAGCTGCAATTTTACTTTTTTTGCTGAAATATTAAGAATATAGCCATAGTCATTATGCTGTCTATTAGTTGAGAAAGAAGGCAATAAAACAACATTGCAAGAGGCTATGTACCAAAAGAGAAACAGCTTGAAGTACTTGGTGGGTGAAGGAAAGAAAAGGAAGGATCATCAACATAGTGATCCATCCAGACCCCCAGAACTGTACTCCAAATAATGCAAACACCATCACAATTATCATCTCACAACAACACACAGAGCGATAGTTGTTAAGATGGAGAGAGAAAAGTCACACCTAAAGTATTACCAAAGAAAATTTGTTAACCCTTAAAGTGTCATTCACCCACCAGAGTCAGATGCAGTTTTACAAAAGGTGCAAACATAAACCTGACAGATTTTAATGAACATACAATGAATATAGTGAAACCTCCATATAACGGATTTCTCTCTCCATAAAATCCATTAGATGAAAGTTTCACATCCCCATTGATTCTCGTTATCATCAAAGTGCAAGTCTTCATTCTGTCTCACCTATTCCCTTTTCACTCTTGTCTCACCTGTCACCCATACCCCATTCCTTTGTATCTCCCACATAATATTTACTCCTTTATAATACTGTATTGTGTTGCACCAAAGTCAAATGAATATGTCAGACAATCTTTAACATTAGATTACAAGGTAATGTAACAACTTACATATGAACTTGGAAATTATTTTATAGCACAGTAGCAAAAAGCAACAAATATTCTACGTGATATAAAAACAACACAAATTAAACAAATCAAATGTATACCTGTAAAGTATCTTATTATTACTATACACACAAGGTACAGCTGTAACTTAATTGTACTCTAAATCAGATTTACCTTATCTGACTGGTCTCAGCCTTACCACCGCTGAGAATGGGCGGCGCCGGCTTTTCTTTATTTCTCTCGAACATGCTCTAAAAGTCAAGAGAGAAAAAGGGACATAAATTATCCACACTGAATTTACTAAAAACTAATTAGCAAGGCTATTTCTACTATACAGTACTGTATTTATAATCTAATATACAGTGATCCCTCGGTTAACGAGCGCCTCGGTTAACGAAATTTCGGTTAACGGAATTACTTTCCATAATATTCTTAACTTCGGTTAACGAATTCCTTACAAGCACCCCTCCACATGTTTTCGCTTGCACACCAGCTGTAATATTAATCCACCAATACAGTAATCGGTTCTAGGGCTTAAATTCCTTACTACTGTATTTTAGTAAATATCAAGAAGTTTATACTATTCAATAATTTTAAAAGTCTTATATTAAAATTTTTAGTCATTCTAACAATTATTTAACATAATTTAAGTACAGGGAAACTAGTTTTTAGCGCGCCAAACAGCCTGTCAACACACCATACAGGCGTCAGTTCTCTGTGTCTTTTCACTGGAGGTAACATCTTGCTTCTGACTCTCTTCTTAACATAAACGCTTTTTTTTGTTTCCAGTCAAATTATTGGTTATTTTGAAATTTATTTTACATACTGACAATATATAATGCAGTGCAGTGTTGATTTAAAGAAAATAATCTTTAATTACACCAAGTGAACTAAAATTTTATGGGTGAAATGGTGCCATGGGGTGACTTCTCTTCCACCCCAATGCCTTCTCTTCTCCCTTCTCCTCCACCCCCATTCTAATTCCCATCATCATCATCATCATCATCCAGGAGCCTTCTACATATACACCTCAAAGTAAGTGTACTTTACTACCTTTTTTGTTGACTTTAGGCAATTTTCGGTGAGCTGGAACCAATTACCCAAAAACCCATTGAAACAATAGTTTCGGTTAACGAGCAACCTTCTAGAACGAATTGTGCTCGTTAACCAAGGGACCACTGTAAAGTACTACTAAAGGACATCTACCGTACTTATCTATTGTGTTAGTTCATTTCAGTACATTCTGTTAATGGTTCACCACAGTGTTCAATCATATATGCAACCATGATGCAGTTTTATGTGAGACCATAGATTTACAATATCTATTGAACTGTACAGTACAGTAAGTCCTCGCTTAACGTCGGGGTTACGTTCCTAAAAATGCGACGTTATACGAAAAAACGTTAAGCGGATCAATTTTCCCCATAAGAAATAGATAAAATACGGGAGTTACGTTCCTGAGCTTCCTTTTGCCTCATGAAATACATTACATATACAGTACACTACAGAAAATCATTGACATTTCTACAGAAAATAATGCATACATATATAGCTACTAAGTTTGTATTGGTACTCACCGATGGGCGGATGTGGTAGAGCTAGTGTGTGGTGGGTAGTGAAGCAGAGGAGTATGGTGGGAGCAGTGGAGGAGTATGGCGGGAGCAGTGGAGGAGTATGGCGGGAGCGGGGGAGGAGTATGGCGGGAGCGGGGGAGGAGTATGGCGGGAGCGGGGGAGGAGTATGGCGGGAGCAGAGGAGGAGGGTGGTGAGTCACTGAGGCTCTGCACCAAGCCGAGAGAGCATAGCGCGGCGAGACGAGAGAGGGTGATGCACCGTAAAATGTAGTCTGTGACGACACAAAAGACATAGTATCGGATCACTGGGACGTTAAACAAAATTTTGGTCTCTAAAGTTAGCTTCGTAGTACCAAAACAACGTTAAGCGGAATGACGTTAAGCACGGACTTACTGTACACAGGACTCCTAACTTACCAAACGTTAAATACAAAATCCTATTGCCAAAAAATAAATATGGTACTTTAGTAAATACAGTAAGTCCTCGCTTAACATCATGGTTCCATTCCTGAAAACCGCGACGTTAACGGAATCAATTTTCCCCATAAGAAATAGATAAAATACGGGAGTTATGTTCTCCAGTCTCCCTTTGCCCCATAAAATACATTACATATACAGATATTCAATGGCATTTTTATAGAAAATAGTATATACATAAATAAACTAAATAATTTTGTATTGTACAGGTTGTACCTCTCTAGTCCGGCATTCTGTGGTCCGGAACGATTTAGTTCGACCATGGAGAAAATTAATTTGAGTCTGGTAATTTCAATGTTTGGCTAAATTTTGCCTTTTTTACCCTACTTTTTTGGCGAATTACTATCTCTAATAAAGCAACATCCTAATAAACCAACGAAAATAACACAGATAAAGTTAAATAAAAACTAAAAACAACACAGAAAAAGTTTTTATGTTCTACAGCTTCAGCTCGAGTTGAACCTGATGACTTGGCAACTTCATCATCCGAGTAAAAACACACAACAACATTGGCTGTCCTTATGTTTTCAACTTTACCACCACTGGTGGGTAGAATTTTTGTTTTAAATTCAGAAACATGAATTAAAATATATATGAGCAGTAAATAAGTGTTGCTTTCATATTCTTATGTAGAGTAATGACAATATGTTTTCACATGTGCGCACTTACATACGTGCAGTCTCACTTTTTTCTTTATCATTAATGGTTTGCTACTTTTATTGTTCCATTTATTAACATTAAATAACATTACTTAAAACAACCATATTAATTTTTTACATTAATTTTACTACAGCTACAACCAGTGTCTTATTTTCTTCAGTTTTATATGTAGAACCAATCAGTCACTGGTTTTGTAATCAACGAAAACAATCCCATCTCATTTCCTCGTGTGTTTTAATAATCTACGTATCATTAATGAATTGTATTGCTCATTTTGCACACATAAACATTAATTCAATCAAAAAGAAATTCAGTAATAAACAATAATGAATTTTTTGTACGTAAGAGAAATGACGCTGTTTACACGATTGTGCACGTCTGAACGTTGGCGGGCCGCTCAAACCCGTCAAAATTCGACTTTCCGCCGTCAAAATTTTAAATTGTGTAGTTTTTTTTTGTGTCCAAATAAAAAATTTTGAATTAAAAACTCGCAAAATTTGAGAAGCTACTGTACAACATTTAACCCCTCAATATGTCTTCAAAGAGACCATGAAGCAGAGAAAGTGGTGCTAGTGCTTCCAAGCATAAGCACAAGTCACTATCTATCCAGGAAAAGGGTGGATTTCTATGGTCCGGAAATTTCCATGGTCCGGCACCGGTCAGGTCCCGAGGTTGCCGGACTAGAGAGGTACAACCTGTACTCACTGATGGGGCGAGTGTGTGGTGGGTAGTGGAGAGGAGGAGGGTGGCAAGTCACTGAGACCCAGCGGGTGGCTCCTCCTCCTGGTTTAAAACCTCCATTTTCGTAGCAATGTTAATGGTCATACGTTGCTTCTTCACAACACTAGCATCAGTAGCTCTTCATGGGCGTTTGGAAGCCATTTCGAATGGTTAGAGTACAGTATTATGAGCAAAAACACTTAAAACACGCACGAACGCTGTGGTAGCTTAACAAAGACTGGAAACACTTGGGGACGCAGTGACGCTCCATGGGTGAGAGCGTAGCGCGCCAAGATGATGTGCCGTACAAAGTAGTCCGTGACGACGTCGTACTGAATCGGAGGATGTTAACCGAATCATGGGTATCTAAAGAATAGAGACGTTATAACGAAACAACTTTATCGTGGGCAACGTTAAACAAGGACTTGCTTATTTTTTAAAACTTTTATGCCACTTTACTGCTCAGTATAGGAGCCACAATATTAGAACAGACTCCCTCAGTTCAGAAGCTCATCACACAAGACCCTTAGCTCTATGAACTACAATACATAGTCTCCTAGGCTCTACCCATATCAAATTCTGCAGAGGTTACGCCATCATTTAAAGGAAATTATCTCATTCAGTCATCTGGCTATTGCATTGGTACAGAAATAAACAATATATTCAGGACATTGCACTAACTTCTTCACCCACTGGTCCAGTTAGACAAAAACCTCCAGTCCTTTACTTGTAAAACATTTCAGTCCAAAGCAAATTTTCAAAAGTCAAACCCTTTGGGTAATGACACACTGTATTTTCATTAACTACTATAATGTCTGAAATAGAGAAAATCAATATAGAATGCCATTTTTGTTTTATAGTCCACATTCAACTTTTAAGGACCAATTAGAACTACAGCAGGGAGACCAAGATATACATTACGGGTATATTGTTTTTAAATTTTTTTGGAAAATTTTTTGTCTATGACTCATATTAACAAAACATTCAAAGTACTGTATTTAACGAACAAACTACATCAACTCAGAAGTCACTGAGGCAAGTGATTCAGTTGTAAACATTTCTACAATGCCATAGAAAGATTTTAAATGTGCCATTTCAATTTGATTATACAAATCCAGTACAACACTGTACTGTACAGTGAAAAGGGTAACTAATATATGTATGCATGACAATGATATTGATTTGTAGTGATTATCATAATGATGTTTCATCAATTTTAATAAGAGTTTGAACTTCATTTATCCAAAGCACAAAATAATATCCTTACTACTTACAAAAAAATGTGACTAATTTACCTCGTCCTGAGCGTGAGCCCACTTCACTGCCATCCTTCGGCCCAAGATAATCTTTCCGTCAAGTACCCTCATAGCTGTCTGGGCAGACTTGGAGGACTCAAATGTCACGAAGGCATACCCACGGGGTTGTCCTGCCTGCGGTCCCGATCGATGGTAAAGAAAGTCAAATTCCACCAGGGGGCCAAAGTTTTCCACCATTTTAAGGAGTTGATACCAATTGGGGAGAGAAAGCACCTTAATTAGATATGCACAACTTCAATCAAATATTTATTAATTATCTATAGTACAGTAGAGTCCTGTAGTTCTTGATAAAACAAGCTAATGTGTCCCCGAGGTGAGTTTTTCCTTTGATATTCGTAATTCTTGTTGATACTGTACACTATGATGTCCTCCACTCACATCTCGTGGCTAAGAAGGGTTTCCTGGGAGTACAGTACAGAAGACCCTTGCCATTCACGAGTTTGTGATTTGTGATTTCGATAATTCGCGGTAAGCAGATGGTGGCTACAGTGGCTAGCTTGCAAGCCTTTTCCCGCAGCACAAGACACCCCACGCAGCAACTCATATTGTACTCTCAAAACTTTAGTGTTTCTGTGTGAAATGGCCCCTAAAAGACTGCCTAGTGTCAGTGCTAGTGATGCTAATGGAGTGAAATGTAAAAGGCAGAAGTCAGTGATGACTCTGACAAAGAAAGTTTTATTATTAGATAGGTTAAAAGGGGGGATGAGTGCTGCCCTGGCTAGTCATTTGTTTGGTATAGGTATACAGTAATGCACTAAGGTAGTATAAGTTGCCATTCGCAGTTTTACCAATTCGTGCCACATCTCAAAACCTATCCCTTGCGAATGGCAAGGGTCTACTGTACAGAATACAGTCTAGGAAAATGTGATCTCACTTATGAAATGTTTTTCATAAATTAGGGACTGCCTTTATTTGCAAGAGAAGAGGAAAGGGAAATTTCCAATTCATAACTTGAATAATAAACTTTATTTACTCTCAAAATATATTAACTTGTACCTGTACAGTACTACATTTTTTTCTTTTTAATCCTGGAATTTTAATGTTAGTTCTTTATCATATGCTGTATGATATCGATGTCTAAACTATGAAGATTTTAATAACAATAATCGTATTCCAAATATTGTACTGTACAGTGTTATCACTATGATATTGGCGGGAATACTTACTCTCTTAGCCGAGAATCAAGATTCCCAACCCATAATCTTCTATCATCAGTTCTTGCTGAATCCTTAGGGGGAAGAGGGACAGGCAGAGTTACCTCCTGAAACACAAATGATGGATTAACCCCTTCACTATTGGATGCCACTTTTAATATTTTATTTGGCTAACACTGATAATTTTTTCAGCACAAAGACCCCCCCCCGTACCCAAGGGTACACAGCGTTACACAGCACAACCACCTCACCATTCTCATTTTAGGTCACTCATTCATGCATATGTCATCCTCTTTAACTGCCATAAAACTTCGTCTGTCCTGCACCATTTGCATACATCAATGCAACAGCTCCCTAACTTCCACGAGTTACTTCTGACTCTTGCAACTGAGCTAGGTTCAGCACCCCTTCCAACACTGATCATGTCACCCAGGTAGTAGAACTACCGGGTAATTGACACAACCTAGGGACACTTAAAAGTGGGCATCATCCTGCAGCCTGCCATCTACCCACTGCATCTTTTGTGTGCCCACCTTCCACACTCACTGCACAATTATTCCTGATTTGATCCCAACACCTTCCTTACTCCAGAAAGAATGTGGCCATTTTCCACTTTCCATCATGGGTCCCTCACCCACATCGCTTTTGTTTTTGCCACAGTCACTCTACATCTCTTAGACTGTATTACATCCTTCCATATATTAAATTTCTCCGCTGTCTCTGCCATACTGTACTATCTGCTTTCATAATTTTTGAGGGGATATCAATTTCATTGTCAAGCTGAATTTACATCAATGCATTAGGTTCCAGCTTGAGTTTAGTATGTTATTTTATACTAGGTTTGGAAAAGTCGCTCGGATGCATTTGTCAACGGAAAAAGTGCAGACACACTATCTTCACATACATACAGTATTTATTCCTAACAAAACTTACAGAAGAACAAAAGTAAGAAAGTTGCAATTCCTCAAATTTTGGGGGTAGTATTCTAGAGGTAAATAGTGTCCTTCTACAAATAATTTTCATAAAGTACTGTAGTTGATTATTATGAGTCAGTGCTCTAGAGTACAGGTTGTATCTCTCTAGTCCGGCATTCTGTGGTCCGGAAACTCCTGTGGTCCGGAACGATTTTAGTTTGTCCAATAGGTAGATAGGCAGCTTCTTCTTCTTTTTTTTTTTTTATGTGAATTATTATTACAGGACTATTAAATTTTTGCCCCTCAGGCCCCAAAGTGGGTCAGTGACCTATGCCCGGGTGGGCTAATCCCCTTGGGGAAAAAAAAAAAAAAACAGCCGCGGGAAATTAAGGTTTGTTTACATCCGGCAGTTCGGCTGCTCTCTTTCTCGCTCTCTCTGCTTGTCTATACAGAGTACAACATTTAACCCTTCAATATATATGAGCAGTAAATAAATGTTGCTTTCATATTCTTATGTAGAGTAATGACGATATGTTTTCACATGTGTGCACTTACATACGCGCAGTCTCACTTTTTTTTTACCATTAATGGTTAGCTACTTATATTGTTCCATTTATTAACATTAAATAACATTACAGGTACTTCAAACAACCATATTATTTTTTTTACATTAATTTTACTACAGCTAAAATCAAGGTCTTATTTTCTTCAGTTTTATATGTAGAACCAATCAGTCACTGGTTTTGTAAGCTTTAACATAAACAATGCCGGCAGCCGTCTCATCTCCTCTAATATTCCACGTATTATTAATAAATTGTATTGTTAATTTTGCACACACATACATTAATTCAATAAAAACAAATTCAGAAACATTAATTAAAATATATATGAACAGTAAATAAGTGTTGCTTTCATATTCTTATGTAAAGTAATGATGATAAGTTTTCACGCGTGCGCACTCACATACGCGATCTCTGTTTTTTCTTTACCCTTATCGTTTGCTACTTCTATTGTTCCATTTATTAACATTACAGTACTTAAAACAACCATATTAATTTTACTACAGCTACAACCAAGGTCTTATTTTCTTCAGTTTTATACAGTATTACCCCGCTTAACGCGTTTCACTTAACGCGTTTTCATATACGCGGTGCCTCGCCAGAGCTGAACTTTCACTTAACACGGATTTTTCCACATATACGCGGTGAGTGTCCGGCTCGAGACGCTATTTTTAGATTTGCCCCACCCGCCACCCTGCCTGACTGCCTGTTTTAGCTCATAAAATTCATACAAATTACCCGGCCAGAATATAATTTACATTGCTGGAATTCTTATAATTTGGTGATCATTTTGAATATAAACATCATATATTTTGCATTAGACATACAAATTTTAGATAAAAAATTTTCTCAGAGTAACTATGTTATCTTTTGTGCAAAATATATGACATTTATATTCAAAATATTCCTGGTCTTACAAGGAATCCAGCAATGTCAATTATATTATCCTAACTTTAGTTTGAGGTATTATTTATTACAAAAAAGTTAAGTATTCTGGTTTTCCCACACATCTCCTTGGGACGGTTGGTGGGGGGTGGGGGGGAGGGAGGGACCGACCGACCATCTGTTACCCTGTGAAGAATATTTTTTTTTTTTTATTAACTGAAGATATTTGTTTTAGCTCATAAAATTCATACAAATTACCCAGTCAGAATATAATTTACATTGCTGGAATTCTTATAATTTGATGATCATTTTGAATATAAACATCATATATTTTGCATTAGACATACAAATTTTAGATAAAATGTTTTCTGAGTAAATATGTTATCTTTTGTGCAAAATATATGACATTTATATTCAAAATATTCCTGGTCTTACAAGGAATCCAGCAATGTCAATTATATTATCCTAACTTTAATCTGAGGTATTATTTAATACAAAATGTTAAAATTTATTTTTTTCACCCCACATCTCTTGAAGGGAGGATTGGTGGGGGGTGGGGGGGAGGGTTGGGACTGACCGCGCGGTTGGGGGGGGAGGCAAGGTGGGGTACTTTGATTGACAGATAGTGTCGTGAAGATTATTTTTTTTTTTATTAACTGAAGATATTTGTTTTAGCTCATAAAATTCATACAAATTACCCGGTCAGAATATAATTTACATTGCTGGAATTCTTATAATTTGGTGATCATTTTGAATATAAACATCATATATTTTGCATTAGACATACAAATTTTAGATAAAATTTTTTCTCTGGGTAACTATGTTATCTTTTGTGCAAAATATATGACATTTATATTCAAAATATTCCTGGTCTTACAAGGAATCCAGCAATGTCAATTGTATTATCCTAACTTTAGTTTGAGGTATTATTTATTAAAATTTAGTGGTTTTCCCCCAAAAATTTCTCAGAGAGGGAAGAGCCGGCAGTGTAGTGTGAGAGGGGGAGGGAGTTGAGTCCATTATTTGAATGGACATTAACTTGGCGACTGTATTTCTCTATTTCTCTTAAGTATTAATTGTGTGCATGTACCATCATAAAATTAAGATGTTATTTTTACTACAACATAGTTATGTGTCTTCAAAAAGTGGAGTTTGGGGGTCGGGCCAGTTTCTATTGGAATTAATCCCATATGTTCTGTTGTTCACTTAACGCGGATTTCACTTAACACGGGACCCTCTGGGTTCTATTGACCGCGTTAAGTGGGGTACAACTGTATGTAGAACCAGTCAGTCACTGGCTTTGTAATCAACGAAAACAATGCTGTGTCATTTCCTCGTGTGTTTTAATATTCTACGCATTATTAATGAATTGTATTGCTCATTTTGCACACATAAACATTAATTCAATAAAAAAGACATTCAGTAATAAACAATAATGAATCTTTTGTACAGAAGAGAAATGACGCTGTTTACACGATTATGCACGTCGTCTGCACGTTGGCGGGCCGTTCAAACCCGTCGAAATTCAAGTTTCCGCCGTCAAAATTTTAATTTATTTATTTTTTTGTGTTCCAATAAAATACATTAAGAATTAAAAACTCGCAAAATTTGAGAAGCTACTATACGACATTTAACCCTTCAATATGTCTTCAAAGAGACCATGATGCAAAGAAAGTGGTGCTAGTGCTTCCAAGCATAAGCACAAGTCACTATCTATCCAGGAAAAGGGTGAATTTCCATGGTGCGGCACCGGTCAAGTCCCGAGGTTGCCGGACTAGAGAGGTACAACCTGTATTACCAAATGAATATTCTCAGGCAAGACATTATATACCAATTATGGTTCACTTTAGTTAGTCGGTTCAGGTTAAATATCAGGGTTAATATTCGGTAGTGACCAAGCATGGAACTGTATATTGATTTGCATATAGGGAGATAAAGCAAAAACACAAAATAATAATAAAAAAATTTTCTCCACTGCATAATTTGTCTAAAATTTGTTTTTGAGTTTTTGTGACTTTTCAATTACAGGTCAGGTTCTTTAGGTTCTTGGTCTTTTCTTTGGTAATACTTGAGATGGCTAACACCAGGAGTTGTTAGATTTTGTTCATATTTTACAGATATTCTTATCATTATAGCAAGTATTTTTAGAGGCGATAATGTTTTATTTTAATTATAAGTATTTATTTTTTAAGTTTTTCTCTATCTACAATACTGCGATATATCACCTGCAGTATGAAGGATGAAGGAAATTGTGGGGTAAAACATGGTGAAAAAAATTATCATGTCTCTAAGGAGAATGACAAGACCAATCCCAGGCACTAGGAACCTTGAGAGACGTAGAGTGAGGGGCGATATGATAGAGGTGTATAAATGGAAGTCAGGGCTGAACAAAGGGAACATTACCAAGCTACTCAAACTATCCAACCAGGAGCGAACTCGCAACAATGGTTTAAAATTAGACAAATTTAGATTCAGGTGCGAAATAGGTAAACATTGGTTTGGAAATAGAGTAGCGGACGAGTGGAACAAGTTACCAAATATCATCATTAACTCGAATACGCTGGATAGCTTCAAACATAGGTTGGATGGATATACAGCCACTCCTCGACTTATGACGGGGTTAGGGACCCAAATCCAGGTCGCAAGTTGAATTGGTCGTAAGTCGAAAATGCGAAGATAATACATAGAAAATCTAAAATGGATGTCTCTTTTTCTTCTCAGCACCACAAAACTCTCGCTTTTCGGCATGCCAGCCATTTTAAAGGGAATCACAAACGAAAAATTTGTCAGTACACAGCGCAATCACTAACGTCGGGACTCGAAAATACGTAATTTGAAAATTTTTTAGTACGACTGGGGTGGTCGTATGTCTGGGTGGTCGTAAGTCGAGTAGGTCGTAAGTCGAGGAGTGGCTGTATGAGCAATAGGGGTTGGGTGTAAATGGGACTGCCCAGTATGGGCCAATAGGCCCGCTGCAGTTTCTTCCATTCTTATGTTCTTATGTAAATGCTTTGTACGTGAAGAAATTAGTTATTTATTGTAAATAGTCCTCTGAAAATCTGCAAGCAGCACGTGATGTCATCTGCTCAGTTTGTTTACAACCGACCCGCTAGGTTCTAGTGTACTCTCACATCCACAAAAAACATAAAATTACACCATGACACTTCAACAAGGTAGCATTTATTGTTACCTGATATCAAAATAAGTATTTTCTGTTTAATATGGCAGCTCCGGACTCTGGCAAGAAAGTTAGGTAAGGTTAGGTAGGTTTCTTTGGTTGGTTTGGTCAAGTTTGGACCTTGACTGTTGCTAGTTTGGCAGACAATTTTGGTCTTATTTTACTAAATATTTCATGCTTAATACAATGGAGATGGTCTTTTTTCATGGAAACGCTAAATTTAATTTTTCTTTCAACTTCCAAGTTGAGTATCGCGAAGTATAAATTTTTTTATTTTTTTTACAATACTATGGCCGTTTCCCATTGAAAATAAATAAATATTGAGAAAACTGAAAGTGAAATTGTGGAAATAATACCTGAAAGTGCTTTTGTTATGGAAGTCAGTTTATGTTAGTGGGGAAAGTTATCGACTAAAGATGGTATCACCCCAGCCCCTACGAATGGTAAGGTTAGGTTATGATAGGTACGGTAAGGTTAGGTTATGATCGGTAAGGTAAGGTTAGGTTAGGTTAGGTTTTGATTGGTTAGGTTATGATTGATTAAATTAGAAATTGGTTAGGTTATGATTGATTAAATTAGAAATTGAGGGTCGGGGGGCAGAGATCCCCTTTACATTTTCAGGTAAGAATTGGCAACAATTTCAGTTTCAATTTCTACAATATTTGTTGTTTTTCAATGGAAAACAGTCGTATTAATGTGTAAAAAGAAAAAATAATAAAATAAAAACATTTTTTTCTAACTTCGTGATTCTAAATTTGGAAGTTGAAAAAATAAATAAATTTAGCGTTTCCATACAAAAAGACCATCTCCATTGCATTAAATATAAAATATTGAGCAAAATGAGAACATTTTTTTTTACTAAACTAGCAAGTCTAAGAATAAATATTTACCAAAATACTTACTACCCATACTGTATAATGATAAGAACATCTGTGGAATAAATTAACGTAATTGAAAAACGCCTTTTGGCATTAACCATCTGCTCCAGGATTACCTTTGCTTTTGTCTTCTTGGTTTTGGTTAGGTTTGCACACTGGGGGTTATGTCAGATCCTTCTGGTTTCTCTGGTTAGGTTAGGTTTAAGTTAGACATGTATACTGGTATTTGTGTCGTTAGGTTAAATCACTACTGACTATCTACCAACAGCAGGTTAGGATAGTTAATTTTAAATGTTTTAAAGTAAATGCTTGACACCATAGTTACCATATTGTCCAAACATATATTTATTAAGAGATATGGTAATATAGTTACCTCTACACATCATCATCATCATCCATTAAAGGATGTTGATGACCAATTTTAAGTTTGGGAAGTACGAGGAACATTGTCTAAGGTAACGTATTTTGGGTAATATTACCGTTTTGGTAACTCAGCGAATTTTAGGATTTTAGGTTTAGGTTAGGTTAGGTTGAAATTATGTTTTCCAATGGTTTTTTATGTGTTTTGAACGATAGGAAAACCATAATTTCAACTTCCAATTGGATGGATGACCGAAACGATGATCTTACCGTGTTTTATATTGAGCTTAATTAAAACCCTTCTAAGCTCCCCAACATCTCTCAAGAAAGCCCATAGTCGAGGGTATAGTGTGTCGTTACATCCTCACCCATACGACACTTGTATTAGATAGGGGATTGCAGTGCCGCCTTTTCAAATCAGTTCCATAATTTATTTATAAGTTTAATATATGTGCAAATGTAATCCACTAAAAATTACTCACGGCCGTCATCCTTCTGGGCCTTGATGATAGAAATCAATAGCAATGTCTTTAGCAACTTCAGCTGTAGCAGTGTTACCAAATGTACTTTAGCGCAAGGAGGGGTGGGCTAAAGCCAAATTGGCTATACTTGAGAATGAACTGTGATTATTACGGGGGATATGAACTGTTATCCACAATATTACATTGGAATGAATTTAAATAAACACTACAAAGATAATCAATGTTTTACATAAATCCTTGAGCATGGAGTCCACCCAGCGGCCCCAGACACTTTCCTCGCTCGCCATATGTTCGTTGTTCCAATACTTGTTTTATTTTCAACTTCAGTGACGACCAAGACTGACTATATTATTTCATGTACTATATAGTGTTGTCTCACTCCGAAAAAGTTACCCTTCACTGTTTTCTGGACTAGCGGCCTCTTCACCCCTGAGCTGTGACCCCTTGTGGAGAGAGCATCCGCCAGCTCCAGGTAAGGACAATCGGCTGAGTAGTGCCCTTTGAGATGTTTATATACCTCAATTAGGTCCCCCTTGCTCGGCTGTAGTATAAGCTAGGCAATTTCAGGCCCACCAGATTGGTGCCGGCACTTCGGCACCTCAGCTACCCAGAGACATTAGAGCGCCTGTAATTGCCTCGCTTATACTGCAAACGGGCAAGGGGGGACCTAATTGACGTATATAAACATCTCAAAGGGCACTACTTAGCCGATTGTCTATACCTGGAGATGGCGGACGCTTGTAGTGGATTCCTCCCCTACAAACGCCGTTTGTCGCTGACTCTCGAATTCCCCAGTGTATGCCTCGTGGTCTAGGTCAGCAACCAGCGCCGCCTTACATGACTGAGGTCAACTATTAAGCCACGCCTACCTCCGCTATATAAGACCTTACTTCGTGGTGACCTTGTAGGGTAATGAGATATGTGTTCACATGAGAACATAAGAACATAAGAATGGAGGAAACTGCAGCGGGCCTATTGGCCCATACTGGGCAGTCCCGTTTATACCCAACCCCTATTGCTCATATAAGCATCCAACCTATGTTTGAAGCTACTCAGCGTATTCGAGTTAATGATGATATTTGGTAACTTGTTCCATTCATCCACTACACTGTTTCCAAACCAGTGTTTACCTATTTCACGCCTAAATCTAAATTTGTCTACAGTAATTTAAAACCATTGTTACCGGTTCACTCCTGGTTGGATAGTTTGAGTACCTTTGTAATGTCCCCTTTGTTTAGCCCTGACTTCCATTTATACACCTCTATCAGGTCGCCCCTCGCTCTACGTCTCTCGAGGGAGTGCAAATTAAGATGCTTTAACCTGCCTCTATACTCAAGGTTCCTAATGCCCGGGATTAGTCTTGTCATTCTCCTCTGAATTCTGTCCAAGGATTCTATATCCATTCTGTAATACGGTGACCAGAACTGAACTGCGTAATCCAGGTGTGGTCTCACAAGAGCAAGATACAGTTTTAGGATGACCTGGCTAGTCTTGTAACTAACACTCCTTTGTATGAACCCAAGTACTTTATTCGCCTTGTTACGAGCAAAAACACATTGTTTACTTGGCTTAAGGTTCCTACTTACCATTACTCCTAAATCTCTCTCGCAGTCGGATTTCTCTATGGCATCGTTGTTCATCTGGTATCTGGTTTCCCTGTTTACATCTCCTATACTGAGTACTTTACATTTGTCCAAGTTCAATTTCATCTGCCATTTTTCAGACCATTCGAAAAATTTGTTTAGATCTTCCTATTTTAGTGTCATCAGCAAATTTGCTTATGTTGCTGTCTATGCCGATATCTATGTCGTTTATGTATATAATAAATAATAATGGTCCAAGTACTGAGCCTTGGGGAACTCCACTTGTGACGTTGCTCCAATGGGACTTAGTGCCATTAATGCTCACTTGCTGTTTCCTGTCCTGTAACCACGCCCTAATCCATTTAAGGATATTACCTTTGATGCCATGTGCTTCTGTCATGGTCACGTTGACTGCTGATCTATTTAACTAACATGAGTGAGTTAGCGACCCCTGAGAAGACATGTTTTTTCCCCATAGACGCTACACTTGTGTTTCCCTCCCAGAGTCCCGCCTTTGTGAAGACAGTTATCAAGTCGTTGTTATTCCACTTTCTCCTGGGAAGCTCAATCTTAAATTAGTCTGTGTAAATCAACTCAAGTAATTCGCCAGACCTTTGTCAACTGAGGGTCATCTTTGAATGAGTAACAGTTAGTTTGTTTGTGATTATTGTCATTGCGTGAGTAGCGATCACTGGCAACTCGGGGGTATTTATACCCGTGCATCGCCAGGGAAAGCGTTCCCTGACGCTGCTCCAATGTTTCTCCAGATCCCATTGTGACTCTTGGATCACTTGACAACTGTCCCGGATGTAGTAGATACACAGCAGGGACCATATATGAAACGATGGCACCGATGCTGCCTGATTAATGTGCTTCACTGCCTCTTTGGGCCAGACCCCAGACTCGCCATGTGTCTGGCTACTACCGACCACAACAACGGTGGTGAGCCCCAATGTCTACCCTGGGTTACTCCTTGGAAGTATATGTCCACAGAGAGGGTTGTAACATGTATGTTAGGGATAATTAGTTGGAAATAATTATCCCATGTTGGGTAGTGGACCCCTGTATATGCTAGTGTCAGTATTAACGTGTATGTTGAGTAAAGTAATCTACAATGAGTGCCATGTACTATGTATTGAGAGTAGGGCCAAAGAACTGGTCCTATTATGCCATGTAATGTAACACCAGTAATGTTGTGTGCAGTAAGAGTGTAAGATCTGAGTAATTACTGTTGAGTAAAGAAATAAGAAAGTAAGTAAATAAGAAAATAAGTAAAGAAGAAAGTACTGAGTCTGCAATAAGCCCAGGAGTTGAACCTGGTGGTTATATGATTAATAATATATCTTTTCCCCTTGATCTCATATTAATAAATTTGTGTTTAGAGTATTTAGGTGTATTCATTTCTCCCACAGTATTTTACCTTTATTTCAGGCCAAGTGACTTGATACCAGAATTACCATACCCATGTGCCTTGACCCTTGACTATGCTACTAAAAGAATGACCATGCTACCAAAAGAATAGGTGACAAAACTGAGTAAGAGTAAGAACTAAGAGAAGTAAGCAAGATGAGGATGGTGTAGAGGTGTGGGAAACGCGCACCCTCACACTTCTACCTTTCTAATTAGTCTTTCGTGGGGGACTCTGTCGAAGGCTTTGCTAAAGTCGAGATATACCACATCATAATTGTGCCCCTCGTCCACCGATTGGAAAACTGATGAAAAGAATGTTAATAGATTAGTTAGACATGAACGTCCACTTGTGAAGCCATGCTGGGAATCATTGATCAACTTGTGCTTCTCCAGGTGATTTCGAATAGAGTTTGAAATGATTGCTTCCAGTAATTTGCCTACTATTGATGTTAGACTGATTGGGCGGTAGTTAGAGGATAGTGATCTATCCCCCTTCTTGAAAATCGGTATTACATTCGCTATCCTCCAGGATTCTGGTACTACACCTGTTTTTAAGGACATGTTAAACAACTTTGCTAAGGGTATACTAAGCTATTCCTTACATTCCTTTAATACTCTGGCTAATATCTCATCGGAACCAGGTGACTTATTAGGCTTTAGTTTGTCTATTTGCTTACTACCATCGTTACTAGTCACTACTATCTCGCTTTGTTTTCTTCACTATCTCTGAATAGAATCGGTGCCCCGGGTATCATGTTTAAATTTTCGGTGGCGAAAACTGTTGAAAAATACTTATTCAAATTATTGCTCATTTCTCTGTCGTTATCAGTGAGCTCGCCGGTATCTGACCGTATTGGTCCAATCTTTTCTCGTGTTTTAGTTTGATACATATGGTAGAATCCTTTGGGGCTTGTCTCTGCCTCCCTTGCTATCCTTACCTCATTATTCCTCTTGGCTTTCCTTATTTCGGTTTTAACCCTACTCACCAATTCCCTATAATAATCCCGGAGGTAAATTTTGCCACGATTTATCCTTCTACCTATAGCCTTCCTTTGGCCAATGATGTTCTTTAAATAATTATTTATCCATTTAGGGTCATTGTTGTCTGATCTGCGTTTTTTGTATGGTATGTTCTGCCTTTGTGCATTAAGTAACTCATTATTTGAATTGTCGTGGAACTCGGCTATCTCAGATCTCGTTATCAGGTCGATGTCATCTGTCAGGTTCACGGCCAAGCGCGACACCCCCTCTCTCAGCTGCCTCTTTAAACTGTCAAAGTTTGCCCTTCTGAAATCTGGTACTTTAGTGGAATTTTCCTTACGTCTGCCCTGAAAATCTAACTGGAATCTAATTTCTTTGGGATCCCTGTTTGCAAGTTCGTTCCCTACCTCGACATTGCTAATGAGGTTTTCTCTGTTTGACAGAACTAAATCGAGTATATTATTACCCCGGGTGGGTTCGGTTATATGTTGACTTAGGAAACAGTCCTGGATCATCTCGAGAAAATCCTCTGATTCTGAGTTACCTGTAAGGTCAGTCCAATCTATTTGGCCAAGGTTAAAGTCGCCTACTATACAGACTTTGTTGTGCATGGAAGCCCTGCGCATTTCATCCCAGATAAGTCGCTCATTGACTCTATCAAGATTGGGAGGTCTATATATGACTCCTGTGATTAATTTTTCCCTACCGTTGATTAATTCTATCCAAATTGTTTCTGTATTCCGCTCAGTTTTTATTTCCTTATTTATTTCGCACTTCAGATTATCCCTAACATAGATTGCTACTCCATCTCCTTTCCTGGTCTGCCCATCGGTATGGAACAGTTTGTAACCCGCAATTTGGTATTCGACCGGTAACTCACGTGAGTCGAGGTTGATCCATATTTCAGTGAATGCTAGTGTCATGATCGTGATAACGGCTAACCTGAAAACCTTAAGGATTCATATTACGCTCAAACGTCCACAAAACCTTCCGAGTCCCCCAGTGGAAACGTCCCCCGTTTTCTCTGTTTCCTTGATGACGTCATCGATAGGCCGTCTTTGTCGAAAGGGAACTTTGAATAAAATCCGCGGATTTCGTAGCAAGAC